ATTATCTGATGTCACCTACAGACTACAGGATCCTGATCACAAATCAAGGACTTTGACAGCGCATGCTAACAGGATGAAGCCGTATCTCGATCCTAATGACCGTCCTGATCACGACTGTATCTCAGACGAGGACGTAGAATACGAAGATGAAACAGTCGACGACAACGGACCGATTGTCAAGGTACTGGATATGATGCGGTCGAGAAACGAGTCAAAACGTTTAGAAAAACATTATTTTGTGCAGTTCGAGAATGGACATACCCAGTGGCTGAGTGAAAACAAAATTAAAGACTTTAGAATTGTGCAAGATTTCATTCAGTCAAAGAAATAACTACTTTTAGTGTATATACGTAGAGTGTGTATATCTAATATTCTAAAATAAACATTTAAAAAAAATGTAAAGATAAAACTTGAAAATCAAAAGAAAAAGGTAAAACATGAAATGTATATGCATGTTAAACTATTTTATTATTTCTGCATGTATGTGTGTAATAAGGTCACTATCTTCAGTTACTATAAACAAATGTGTGATTCTGGTATAGACAGATAATTATGTAAACAGTATCAAATTGTCATTATCAGTCTACTAATTATATTAGTGTGTCGGGATGCCACACTTAGGAAGGGAGGTATCTCACAGAGCTATCCCCCAAGTTAATTAAATGTAAATAAATGAGAGAGTTAGAAGGTCTGATAAGGTTGCAGGTGCACGAGGCAGGCGTTGTAGCCCTGTTTCCCATGGGTGTCATTTTAGCTAGTTGGAGAGAAAGAGAGTTGAGCAAGCATGAATTTATAATTTGTTACTATGTCAGTTCTGTTGTCGTTTGTTTATTATGTTTGATAGAGTTCTGAGAGATGAAAGTGAGCATTAGGTTGATTTGTGTGAGAAACTGGGGAGTAAGAGATTTGGTATGGGCATGCCCTGAGAACATGTGATAACAAGAGTGGAGAATGAGTTTGGAAGTCATTGAGAGTGGATGTATCTTATAATTGTGAACTTTGCGTATTACTATAAATATATTGCGTGTGTTGTAAATATGTAAATAAACTATGTAAATAAAAACAATCGTAATTATTAATCAGTGCCAGTGACAGGGAGGACCCCCGTCACAAATTATGAAAACTTAACAGACATAACAAATTACATTAATAATAAAGCAAAAATATTCATCCCTAGCACTTTGTAATAAGCATTTTTTATTGTGCAGTGTCAAGTTTGTAGGCATTAATACCAAGGATTTCAGGTGACCTTTTGCTCTCTGTGTCAATGTGTCATTTGAGAACCAAAAAATCTTTTTTTTTTCAAGCTTTTTTTCTTAAATGGCTAAACTGATATCAACTATATTTGGTTTATAGTGTCTGGGAATGAAGGAAGCCATAAAAAAATGTGATCTTTATGGACGACATCCAGTAAAAAAAATTCCAGCTAATGTTATATTAAAATCAGAGACATCTTGCAGGAAGAAAATTGTTAAATTCATATACTTTGGGTCCAGGCTCCAGGGTGGAGAAAAGTTGGTCATATTGAAATTCATAATTTTTTTCTTTATTTCTTAGCATTTAACATACAAACTTTATGCACTGTGATTATGAGAAAACGGGTTCCATACCAAAATTTAAGAATTGTCGCTTGGTTCAAGAGTTTCAGACCCACCTATGTCTTACTTGGCCCAATATTTAGCAACTTTTGAAACAACTTTTTTCTTTATTTGTTTACAGTAACTGTAGATTCCTAAATATATGCGAGGAATAAATTATTGCATAATTATGCGAGAAGCACCACTCATGAAATAAATATAAATTTACTTGCTTTTATTTTTATGGTGTTTTAATGTATGTAAATTTTCGAGGTAAATAACCCAATCGCGAATTATTGTTCTTGTGATTTGATGTTTTTGGTCCATTTCACGATATTAAGTACTCATGTAAAATAAGGAATCTACAGTATTTGAGATAATGCAGAAATCATTACTCAAGGCATAGATATTGATCATAGTTTAAAAAAAATTCTGTTCTAACCAAAGGGTGCAGATACTTTCACTGGAGAATTATCTCTAAGGACAAGGTTTTTTTCATACAAAGTCCACAATTTGTAATCTATCTTTTGATGTGGATCATGTTTTACAAATACCCAATTGGTGTGGTAACCTCAAAGTCATGACTTCAAGGTTATAAGGATTGTGAGACTTGAAATCTAATTGAATCTTATCTCTGAAGCTTAGACAGATAACATGTTCATTTACTGTCTATCCTTTAGCCTAGTCATGAGTACAGATACTATGTTCATTTACTGTCTATCCTTTAGCCTAGTCATGAGTACAGATACTATGTTCATATACTGTCTATCCTTTAGCCTAGTCATGAGTACAGATACTATGTTCATTTACTGTCTATCCATTTACCTAGACATGAGTACAGATACTATGTTCATTTACTGTCTATCCTTTAGCCTAGTCATGAGTACAGATACTATGTTCATTTACTGTCTATCCATTAACCTAGACATGAGTACAGATACTATGTTCATTTACTGTCTATCCTTTAGCCTAGTCATGAGTACAGATACTATGTCCATTTACTGTCTATCCTTTAGCCTGGTCATGAGTACAGATACTATGTTCATTTACTGTCTATCCTTTAGCCTAGTCATGAGTACAGATACTATGTTCATTTATTATCTATCCTTTAGCCTAGACATGAGTACAGATACTATGTTCATTTACTGTCTATCCATTAACTTAGACATGAGTACAATACTATGTTCATCTGTTGTCTATCCTTTAACCTAGACATGACTACAGATACTATGTTCATCTATTGTCTATCCTTTAGCATAGACATGAGTACAGATACTATGATTGTCTATTGTCTATCTTTAACTTAGACATGAGTACAGATACTATGTTCATCTATTGTCTATCCCTTAGCCTAGACATGGGTACAGAGACTATGATTGTCTATTGTCTATCTTTAACCTAGACATGAGTACAGATACTATGATAGTCTGTTGTCTATCCTTTAGCCTAGACATGAGTACAGATACCATGATCATCTATTGTCTATCCTTTCATCTATTGTCTATCCTTTTGCCTAGACATGGGTACAGATACTATGATCATCCATTGTCTATCTTTAGCTTAGACATGAGTACTGATACTATGTTCATCTATTGTCTATCCTTTAGCCTAAACATGAGTACAGATACTATGGACTGTCTATCCTGTTTAGCATTATAGCTTGACTAAAGAGCTTTTCTCTTATCTCAAAATTAGTTGGCAATTATTTTTATTATTTTTTAAAGACGGGTTGCAAATTATGCTGAAGTATAATTTTGACTCAAATATAAATAGATTTTTGCTAGAGATTACTGCTGTCCTTGAACCAATGGTTTTCCGTGATCTGGAGTCATGAACTTGTTACTAAGATAACAGGCTCATGCCCATAGGAGTATGTTTGGGAAAGAAAAGAGAAATGTTTGTGTTGGAAAAAACCCCACAAAAACAAAACAAAAAAACCCCCCTAATTTATGTGGTTTGATGGTCCAATTGAAGTATATGTGTAAGTATGTGAGAAACTTTGAATATGCCTCTTAAATCTGGAAAATTATTTTTCGGATTATACATTAATAATTCAGGAAAGCTGAAGTGTTTCAAGGAGAATTATATACACAGTACATATGAGGCATATATACTTCATTCAACATTGATTTTGTGTTTCCGCATAAAATTTAATGAAATTCAAGCTTGTGTGCACTTTGTTCTTATCATGATTATAAGAGAGGTACACATAAAAATCTCATACCAATTGGAAAGATAAACATTTTCTGGAAGTATTTCTAAGTTTAAAATTTTGAGTATAATTTAAGTATTTTTTTTTTTCATGTGACATATTACACAAAATCTCTATCTTGTGCATAAACTTGTATAATTATGGGTTATGTTGTGACATAAATACATACTTCCTTTTTCAGTATCTGTGAAGAATAAACAAAACATATGTTTATGTTAGAAAGAAGCATGTCAAATAATAAACCAAGGTCCTTAAGACATTTACTTATATTAATGCATTGGACAGGAAAACACTGGAGTGGCCTTAGTATTGGATTAAGTATAGTCTGTCTTCTATGATAGGCTGGGAACATCTCATGATAGACAACTTATCTGTGATTTCTACATCACGGCTCTCAAGTTCATCCTCAAAAATAAACTTATGAAAGTTTTTTTTCCATGCTGTTTGTTTGTGTACTTTTAGATGGTATTTGTTGATTATATTTTATGTGTACTTAAATTGTAGAGAGAGCTTTTTTTAATCTCAACGCTCTAGGCTATATTACATGTTATTAAATCCCGCTTTCCTGTACTAAGAAAAGTGGTGTATAGTCACAAGATGATGTGTAATGACTTCTGTCTACGGTCATTTGGAAAAAAAAAAGTGAATGTTAGCCAGATAAGTACATGCATATCGAAATATGTTGACAGAACATGAGTTTTCCATTATATATCATTATTGAAAATTTAGTAAGTGAACCCCCCACCCCCTTCTCATAGAGATGAACGATAATTTTGAGCAGGATAATTTAATTTAATTTATTTAGTAATTAGCAGTATTCACATTCAATTTAAAATGCCTCTTAATCAGCATGAAAATTTGCATGTCAGTTACCGCAGAGTATTTAGAGTTCAAAGTGAAATAAAATGCCCCAAATACAAAGTAACTGTATTTCTACATGCTGTTTCAAACTTCTTCTGTTGTGCTTGAAGGCCTTAAATGGTATATCATTTTGAGTTTTTGGTAATGATATCTATTTTTTTTTTTTATTTGAAAATAAAAGATAAAATATTTTTTGACCAGTTTTATAATTTTCGGTAATGCAACGCAACTTATTTAATTTCTTACCAAATAGATCTTTTTGTAGATTCTTTCAAAGAAGAATGGTTAAATATATACATTTGTGATAAATTTTGGTTGCATTCTTTTCAATTCATCAATAATATTTTCAGCCATCTGTAGTTTTAAAAGTAAAGTACAGAAGAGTTTGAGCCTGACTGTCGGAGAAACTGTACATATTCTGGAGGAATATGGGGGATCCAATGGTGAGTAAAAAAAAGAAATACGGACCACAAACTAGATCCTCAGATATAAATTTGAGAAGAGTAGAACCACACTTACATGACCCTGTGGTGAGGAAGAGGAAACCGAGGTATCATTGTGAGAGATTTCAGTGTTGGACCCAATGCATGTATATGGATGCTTAGTGCCTATGAATGGGGAGAATCTAGTGATGTAGGTACAAGAGTTCTGGGGGGAAATGGAGAAATATACAACTGTAGACAGAGAATGTGACTTTTATAGTAGAGGTTTCAGATGAAATCTATTGTACTTGTAATCAGTATTTAAAAGTGCATGTCCAATATTGATTAACTTGACAGAAAGCAAGAATGTATTTACCGGGTACATTAATGGACGAATTGGATTTTTCTTTGATAGGCTGGTTTTATGGAAAGTCCACAAACAGAAAAACAGGATGGGTATGTGGTGAATCTTAATAAAAAATGAAAAAAATATGAATCATATGTATATATTTAACACCAAAATTGGATATTGCCCAATTTATGTATCCAAACATGTTTAAAAAAAACATTGCTTGGCTCTTGGGGCATTTTTATGAATTATCAACATTTCTTTGCAGGGAATATTTCCAAAGAGTTTTATTCATATCAAGGACTGCATTACAGAGGGAAAGGGGTAAGAAAAAAAACTATTATATACTTAAAGAGTGATCTATAATTCAGGCTTACTTAAAAATTAAATAAAACTAAAGTTATGTTGTTCTTAAATATATTGATGTTTGTGGTTGATATATTGATAAGTGTGATCACTCAGGTTTGCTGATACAAATCTTGATGATCTAAAAGGATTATTATTATTTCAAACACAAAAATCTGTATTTTCACACAAGTAAATCGAAGTACAACTATTATTTTTGTATCACAGACGATATCAGACAGTCATTCCAAAAGAAGATCACATGGTCAGAGAGTTGACCTTTGGCCTGAGAGAATGGTTCCAATCTTGGAAGACCAAATACCTCAGTCAGGTAGCATTAAAACACTTTTTTCATAAGGGATATGCAGACCTGTTTACTCTAACGATTTCGCCGTATTTTGTTTGGATTTTAAGTCCAAAATACGTCTTACGTTTTGCTATAACGAAAATATGGAAATCCGTTCATATGGATTTTAGCAATTAGTTTTCGTTATTTGTCTCAGTTTGACGCTTTTTAATCGCTAAAGAAGAGAAAATTTTCAAACATTTAAGTTGTCAAAACGCGGAGTGACAGAAATCACTCAAAGAGAGCAGTGTATGATGTTTTGCTTTGTTATTAAACTATGTTTTGGTAATCAGAAATATAGATGTTTTCTAGTAATAGATGTACAGTCGATGAAAAGTGAAATCTTACGGGCAAATGCCAAATCTCACTGACAAATCTAATGAAAAATACTGAGAGACAACAATTTGGGTAAACAGGTCTGGATATGCATTAGAATTGTGATTACTTTGCTGTCATTGCCTTCAAATACTTTTATACACCAGCTCATCTTGAAATGCTTTGTCGACCCTTTGTGGTGTTTGAGGAATGCCAACTATAAGCAACACCCAAATACTCAAAACTAAGAGCCATTTTTACTTTCATATATATATATATATATATATATGTCCTCACATAACAATCAAAAAGTAGTTGTAAGAATTCATTAACAATGAATTATTACTAGATTGTTATGTTTGTTCACTCTATATCTGTTTTTAGTTAGGTCCAGTATTAAACTGTTGTTAACATAGCTGTGGTTTATGACAGGGATGGAACCAGATGCTGGAAGATGTAGAGAGGACGATGGCTGAGCTGGCAATGTTACGGGGGCGACTCATCAAAGACACTCTGTCAGTGGAGCAAGCTTCCAATCTCCGCGAGGAAATAGCTACACTGGTGGACTGGGGAAATGGGTAAGACAGTTGTGTAGGCTGGGGAAATGGGTAAGACAATTGTGTAGACTAGGGAAATTTGGTAAGACAGGGAAATGGGTAAGACAATTGTGTGGACTGGGGAAATGGTTTAGAGAATTGTGTGGATTGGGGAAATGGGTAAGACAATTGTGAAGACTGGGGAAATGGGTAAGACAATTGTGTAGACTGGGGAAATGGGTAAGACAATTGTGTAGACTAGGGATATGGGTAAGACAATTGTGTAGACTAGGGAAATGGGTAAGACAAGTGTGTGCTATTGACAAAGAAGATTTTAGTGTTACAAGAACACAATAAAAAGTGGAGTAAATAACAATATTATTTTTCTCTCTCTCTCCAAAAGAAGTTTAGAAATATTAAGATGTGAATGATGTTTGTTTGGTGTTGCAGGCAGCTAGGTATGGATCTTATTCCACGTAAAAATGGCAAAGAGATAAATCCTGATGAGTGTAGTGTGATAGAACTACACAGGGTCCACTCACAGGGCGTGGAGAAATTACGCACAAAATCAGTAAGACAGTTCTAGAACCAATTATATTTTCAAAAAGCTTCTGAACTTTTCATTCTTCAAAACAAAAAAAAATTTAAATTATATTTTTAAGACCTGAAATTTTGATGAAATAATAAAGTGAATCAACTTAAATTTGTGATTTTTTATGGTATCAATTTTTCAAACTTAAATTGCACATGTAAAATCATTTCTCAAACACATACATGTATTAAATATGATTTTATGAAAAAACGATTATTTATTAGAAATATTTTTACACAAAATGTAATGAGGGAAAAAATTATTCAATGTTAGAAGAGGTGACTTTTCATTTTGTACTTGAATCTTTCAGACAAAGCGGACTAGATTACCAACACAGTCCTGCTATACAGACGAGGGGAATATTTACAATCTTCTGGTCCATTTTCGTAGCAGTCAGTGTAATATAGGAGATGACTCTGTAGTTTATTTATCTTTATTCAGTGCCAAAGATGACAAATTTATCAGGTATCATTATATTTGTAGGTGAAATTTTTAGTATTCCTCAAAAAGCAAAATTTTCAAAAGTTCCTACATGTTACTGTTAAGAAATGGATCCATTAGGAGCCTAAAGTCTGAGTCTTTAAGTCAGCATGAGATTTAATTGAATGCAAAGAAAGGATCGGAGCCAAAAGAATTCATGGACATGTATTTATTAAAAATTAATGGATTTGATTAGAGAGTTATAGAAGAATTTACACATAATATGATTGTGCATTTTAGTTATGTAATAACTAAGATCTGAACTTTCATCATTTGTAAGGTACATTGCAGAAGTTGATTTACAACTGTTTTACACTTGCAGTGAACAATATGAAATAAAACTGAACAAGACGGGATTTCCAGTAGATTTGGAAAAGTCAGACAACCTGAATGCTCTTTTCACAGTAAGATAGTGATATTTTCTGACACCTTGGTACTATAGCACCATAAATTTGAATTAGAATTCGGAAAGATTTTGAATCTTTACTCAGCAAAAAGTCTTCCCATTTTTAGTTCACCTCAGTCAAGTAACCTGATGATATCCATTTTCATCCATTGTTTTACGTGTGTCGTGCTGGGTACTGGATTTGGCATCAGGGTGGGGCTAAAATAATCATATTATTATTACTTGTATTGAAAAAAACACCTTCACATATGGAATTTTAGTATGCAAACTGTTCGCATGATTATAATAAAGAGCTAGCTCTTTACAAGAATTAGAAAGTTCATGTTCCCTGCCCCCAGTGATCTGACTCTACAGGGTAAAGGATATCAATCATTATATGAATATAATGAGCTGATAGCCCTCTGCCAAAATTGTGATATTCAGACCCCCCCCCCCCCTTCTTTTTTGGATCAGGCTGCAGTGTGGGGATAAGGTAGTCTTGTACTAAAAATTTATTCAGTATCTGTTTTATATTCTATTTTCTACTGGAAATACAGCAAGCAAGCTGTATGTATGATAACAGTATGTCAATTATAATGACAATAAGACAATAATACTCAATTTGTAATCAATTCAAGCATTCTTAAGATTTATATAGGCCAAGATAAATAAAATTTTTCCAGTTTTAATTAAACAACAAATATTTCCTTTCGGAAATACATGCACTTCCTTTTCTTTTAAACATTTTTCCTTGGGGTAAATTCCAGGTATTCTCTGTTGAAAATGAAAAAGTTAAGTTCATACCTTTATGCAATATGATTTCCTCAAAGTCCAAAAAGCATTTTGCTTTAGTGTCTAGAAGGTCCTATATAGATTCATGCAATATGACAGTAAACTTTGAGTCCTGGCCAAATTGTAAAATTCATGTTACTAAAGTTCAGAGTGCCTTCCCAGGTAGGGATGAGTTGATCACCACTTTAGAAAACATGATACTCCAGCTGGTAACTGTCAAGGCTCATAGGCCTCATATTTTTTATTTACAGGACTTGTCCCAAGAAGATTTTCACAGAAATTTATTCCTAGTTGTTCGTATATACAGATATGGTTAGTAAAAAGAAAAACAAATTATAAAACAAAGTACCTTAACAAAACTGATGTTGATTGATAAAATGCTGCTATACTGTAAGGTGATGTGTATAATTGTGTTTGTAGGTCGTATGTTACAAGACCATAAGGAACACAAGAAGCCCCCATCCTCACCATACAGAAGGCCCTGGGGGGTTGGAGGTAAGGATTGTGTAATTGCTGAGTTTATGTATTTATCCTTTTGTGAAGTACACTCACTGACCCTATCTCTCTGTTTTGCCCTCTGCTAGTGTTCAGTGTACGAGAAATCCAGGACCAGATGGATATGGTAGATGATCAATACGAGTGTAACATTAAGGTTGTGAGGTAAGTGTAATTCAAAAAAAAATTTTCGTATGATAAGAATGAAGTGAAATAAATTCTCCAAAAAAGAAAAAGAGATCTTGGTTACTCGAGTTACTGAGACATTAACATTTTTGCAGCTGTGCTGATGACAGCACTTTCTCAGAGTATCACGAAACATTGATAAGACGTTACAATGCTGCCCAGTTTGGTAGCTCCAGTCAACTTAAAGCCAGTGTGACCAGTCCAGAGAAAACAAGCTTAGGTGAGTAGATGTACTGATATAGCATTACAATACTGCTAGTGTGTGTGAAGAAAGCTAGTTGATTTCACATCTGTTTCTGGTCATAAACCATAGCAGTATTTGTGAACTTCTGCCATAATTCAGTTGTGAACTTTCACCTCTGACCCTGCTTTCAGGCCTTCATTTGGCTGTAAAGATCATCACAGGGGACCTGAAGAAATGTCAGACAGAACATCCCGTGTTGTTCAATAAAGGGCTGGCTGTGATTCAAAAAATGGACTTCTCTGATGTCATTAATCCTGGTATGTGTGAACAGTCTAAGTGATGAACTTACATAGTTTGTATATGTATATATTGCATATAAAAAAAGGACCTCATTTAAATAGAATGTAAATGTACAGGTGATTTTTTTTATTTTGTGTAGGGGAGGTCCGTAATGATGTATATTTAGAACTCCATGAGGGAGATTTTGACAGGGATGGTAAAAAAGCTCAGAAAAATGTGGAGGTCAAAATCACTGTATTGGATAGAGAAGGTCGCCGCATTCCTGTAAGTCAAACACAAGTAAACCATATCAAACTAAATTTGTCTTACAGCTATATTGATTTAATTATGTTTTAAAATGATTTTAAGCATCCAACTTGTTAATGTTTTAAATAATTTCTCATACATAACTTGAACTTTCATGTAAGCATTCAAATAAATGATAAGCATAATTATTCTGTACTATTTCCAGTAACATAGTGTTCATTGTATTCCAGAAATGTATAAGTTATGGTTGTGGAGAAGATTTACAAGATACATTCCGATCGGCTGTATTGTACCACAGTAATGGACCAAAGTGGGCAGAAACTGTTAGGGTTAGTCAGTTTGTAATGAATCACTCTATATTTCTCTTCTCTCAAGCACAAAAGCCATTAATTATCTAAGAGAGGTTTTTTTTCTTTTTATGTGTATTAGATTTCTATACCCATGGAAAAATTTCCAGGATCTAGTGCTTTGTTTGAAATCTCACACTGCTCAAGTAAGTTTTATTACTGTAAGCATTATAACAAATAGAAGTAATGGTCTGTTGTTCAAAGGTAAAAATGTTTACATTATACATTCCAGCCAAATCCAGTAAAGCAGAGAAGAAGCTTTGTGGATTTGCCTTCATGAGATTGACAGATGACGAAGATATTGTGATCAAAGATGCATATCATACACTCTGCATATACAAGGTTCAAAGTATTATTTGAATTCTGAAATCGGAACATGAAGCATGACAAAAATGTGTCAGGTTTTGTGAAATTTGAGTGGCTACTGCTTAGCCAGATTAAAGTAGCTGACCTTTTTTCTTATTTGGCTTGCATGTTACAGTGTGAAGACCCCAGTAAGATTAAGTATGAGAAATACAAGACAATGCCGTTCCTTGTGGATGACTTTGGAGACCCCCGCCAGTCTGTGTTCATAACAAAGTCCCTCCCGTACACTCGCAGCGCTAGGGAGACCATTCAAGTTTCCACGAAACTGACCTCCACAAAATTCACACAGACGTGTAAGTACAAACTGTAAGCAGATATCACACCTTGACAAAGGGTTGATAAAGGACAGAATTTTAAGTTTATTTCATTGGTATTTGATATATTGATTTTGGAGTTAATGAGGCTTAACTATATTTTATTAGCTGAGCTTCTTGGAGTTTTGAAATGGAGAGATTGTATGAGTGACTTGGAAAGAAACCTGGACAAATTGATGAATTTACAAGGAGGAGAAATTATGAAGGTAATTTAGATTTTGGACTGTTCTGTACATTATATAAGCAAACTAACACCTGCTGAATAAGTGTCGGTATATATACATGTATATATAGTAATGTCAGAAGTAGTCATTTAATTTTTTTTCTTGCCATTTAAGAAGCATGAAGTCTTTTGACTTTCAAGAAGTGATGTATTAAAGAGCTGGGGTCACTTTCTGTATAAAATGACCCTTTGTATAGACCAATTAAGCAAACAATTTCCAGTGTCCAAATTCAAATAGTAATACAGTCAAACCTCATTATGTCGAACTCGAAACCGAGAAAAAACAGAGAGATATCCAAGGATTTGAGATATCAAGACTAAAATACTTAAAGAGTAAGGGGTTGGGACTTCCAAATCTGTTTGACATGGTATTCGAGTTATCGATGTTCGAGATACCAAAGTTCAACTGTATGAAGTAGAGACTTTATGCTTTCATTACCTGTAAAAAGATCTGCTTGATCTAGAACATAATCTATGAAAATGCAACATTTTACAATTTTACAGAAAATGCATTTGAGTACAGTAAGCAAAGAAATGAAATTTAAGCATAGTCCTCAAACAAAAATAAAACATGTACATGTATAATGAAATTTAGCAACAGTTCTATTTAACAAGTATTGTGATACTTGTAATAATATTTGGATGGGAGATTGTGTTTTGTTTGTAATACTGAAAAACAGCTCCAAATTTTTTACCATATTCGTGAACATTCATTTAAATTTGATCTAGTGTTATTTTCTTTTCAGTTTTTGTCAGACATTCTTGATGCTTTGTTTGAAATGCTCCAAGCAGGCAGTCAGACCCAATACTATACCAAAGTGTTTCATGCTTTAGTAAGTTTGCTATAAAAAAAAATATGGATTTTTATGGATTGCATCTTATAAAGACACAAGTGACTGTATATTTGTGAAAACTTAAAATTCAAGGATTTTCTTCTTCCTTTCAACAGATTTTCATTCTGAACTTGCTGTTGGACAGCAGGTTTGAGAACTTTGTACCCGTGTTAGACAGCTATCTCCGAGAAACATTCACGTCACCTCTAGTCCATACGTAAGTTTATATAACACAGGGATCTCCGAGAAACATTCACCTCACCTCTAGTCCATACGTAAGTTTATATAACACAGGGATCTCTGAGAAACATTCACCTCACCTCTAGTCCATACGTAAGTTTATATAACACAGGTATCTAAGAGAAACATTCACGTCACCTCTAGTCTAGTCCATACGTAAGTTTATATAACACAGGGATCTCCGAGAAACATTCACCTCACCTCTAGTCCATACGTAAGTTTATATAACACAGGGATCTCTGAGAAACATTCACCTCACCTCTAGTCCATACGTAAGTTTATATAACACAGGTATCTCCGAGAAACATTCACCTCACCTCTAGTCTAGTCCATACGTAAGTTTATATAACACAGGGATCTCCGAGAAACATTCACCTCACCTCTAGTCCATACGTAAGTTTATATAACACAGGTATCTCCGAGAAACATTCACGTCACCTCTAGTCTAGTCCATACGTAAGTTTATATAACACAGGGATCTCCGAGAAACATTCACCTCACCTCTAGTCCATACGTAAGTTTATATAACACAGGTATCTCAGAAAAACATTCACGTCACCTCTAGTCCATACGTAAGTTTATATAACACAGGGATCTCCGAGAAACATTCACCTCACCTCTAGTCCATACGTAAGTTTATATAACACAGGTATCTAAGAGAAACATTCACGTCACCTCTAGTCTAGTCCATACGTAAGTTTATATAACACAGGGATCTCCGAGAAACATTCACCTCACCTCTAGTCCATACGTAAGTTTATATAACACAGGTATCTCCGAGAAACATTCACGTCACCTCTAGTCTAGTCCATACGTAAGTTTATATAACACAGGTATCTAAGAGAAACATTCACGTCACCTCTAGTCTAGTCCATACGTAAGTTTATATAACACAGGGATCTCTGAGAAACATTCACCTCACCTCTAGTCCATACGTAAGTTTATATAACACAGGTATCTCCGAGAAACATTCACCTCACCTCTAGTCCATACGTAAGTTTATATAACACAGGTATCTCCGAGAAACATTCACCTCACCTCTAGTCCATACGTAAGTTTATATAACACAGGTATCTCCGAGAAACATTCACCTCACCTCTAGTCCATACGTAAGTTTATATAACACAGGTATCTAAGAGAAACATTCACCTCACCTCTAGTCCATACGTAAGTTTATATACAGGTATCTAAGGTCAACTTAAAAATCTTTGGACATTCAATTCACTTCTAGTCCTTACATAAGTTTACACACAGGTACCTAAGGTCAACTTAAAAATCTTTGGACATTCAATTCACCTCTAGTCCATACATAAGTTTATACACATCTATCTAAGGTCACCTTAAAAAATCTTCAGACAATTTTAAGGGTTGCCCTGTTTTATAGACCCAAAATTTTTTAATGTCATATATTTTATTTTGATTTTATGACAAATTACAGAATCAGTAAGAAACTTGATTGTGACTGTGCTTCTGGTTGAGCTAAGAAATTTTGAATTGACCTTTTTGCAGTTAGAATTCAACTTGGTTTACATTTACCATAGGTTTATCAAAGCACATGAATGACAACATCAAATACTGCCACAGTTTATATATGTCATGTAAAAACTAATACTTCTCTGATGAAAGAAAAGGTGACCTTTTTACAGTAGATCTTTGTTTCTCTGATTAAAATTAGAATCAGATTTTATTTGTGAACTCCAAGTGTGATGATTGTGTAGACTTAGTTTGTTTGGTGGCCAGTTTTATTTACCTTGTTTACCAGATAAGATGATGTCTATATTTCAGCCATTTGATGTCCTTGTTTTCGGACGGCATTCTGCGGGCAGTCAAGGGTGAGACCTTCCCTGTGGCCATGTCACTTAAGGTAAAAAAAACCCAGATTCCACATTCATGCATAACGAATGTACTGTAAATTGAAATGGTTTGGTTTTGTCAAATGATGTAATGAAACACTCATACTGTACTTAACTAAGAAAACCAGAGCAGGAGTCATGTTTAAATGTTATTGACTGTTCCTTTGTTTTTTTACAGTGATGTTTGCCTTATACTGTATAATAATTAGAGTAGGTACTTGTTTACATTGTAGTTAGCAACTTCGCAGGTTTACATGTATAAACAGTTGCTCTTTTGGTTAAGTGCTTATACCCTGTCTGTCAGACTTTTTCAGGGTGTGATATTATGGATGTTTAAATATTGGAGTTTGCAGTACTATACTGAGATTTTTTTCTTTCTTGGCAGTATGAACCATTATTGTATTTATGAGAGATAATTTAAAAACAATGTAACTATATAAGACTATCAAAAGCAGTAGAAAAATAAATAGAAATGATTATTAAGGAATTCAACTGCTGTAATCGCCTTTATTTTATATTAATCTATATACAGAGTGGTTATGTGTAGTATTGCAGCATTATTACTTTACTTCATTAGAATATTGCAGTTTCATGATACTGTTAACTCTATTATCTCTATGGATTTATTTATGAGTTGCAGTCTTTTATCTGTGAATTTATTGTGTTATTAGTTTTTCCATGACGTAGTAGTGTTGTTTATTTATGTATTTATGATCTTTTGCATGTTGTTTATTAAAATTACTTTTTACCAAATTTTATACTTCTTTAAACTTGTTCCATTGCAAAAAAAACCCCCAAAACCAAAAAACCTTGCAAATTTCCCATCATTCCTATGATCAGTAAAGAATTGAGAACATTTCACAAGTTTACTCATATGGGACATCAACACATTCTTGTTGTATGGTAGATTGTTATGGATTTGGACTTTGATATTGAGTTGTTCTTATCCCTAGGTGCTTGCCCCACTTGTGAGATTTATTGTGCGATCTCGGGAACTCGAGACATTAAAGTAAGTTTACCTCTGTATCAATAGTCATAAACTTTACTATCTACATGTATATGTTGTCTTGTCTATAACTATTTGCCAACATGAAACATTGTATTGTTTTTCAGTCTGATATACTCTAAAAATACATTTCATGATCTGAATGTTATCTCATATTGTCTATTGTACAGCCGTTTGTTATTTTAGACACAATAAGCGTACCATTTCTTTTATACCTTTAAGGTACATGTAGTTGAATGTGGTTGATGATAATTCCGCTATCTTATTTCATTCGTACTGAGTGCATGTTATTTTTCTCATGCAGCCCCATGTGTCGTAACTCTAAGTCAGAACATGACTATCAAGTCCAGATCTCCCAGCTGTTTGACAGCTTTGGACGGCTCCTGGCCTCAAAGGACCAAAAACTCAAGATCTCACAGGTCTGTCCAAAAAATTACCTACTACATCATTACATTATAATCATCCGTGGAATGTTAAGGGTTAAACAAAGATTGATACATGTATATTCTTAGATGAATTTTGTAAATGATGTGTATTTTTAGGGAAAAATAGATGTTTTTAAAAAACTTGAAATTTCTGCTGTAAGAATTATAGAGAAAAAAGAGAGACTAATACTTTAATATTTGATTTCTCAAGATGGCTTTGCTGTCCAATATGCGGAAGTCATTTGAAACTTTTGTCGTGATCATGACCAAGAAACAGCTTGCTGATTACGTTAAAGCTGTCATTTCTAAACTGCCTCCCCAACGGGAAATCTCTGAAGACGTGGCTAGGAACAAGATGGAGTTTATCAGGGAGATTGTCAACTCCGACTTATTTCTGGATGATGGTAAATAAAGAGGAAACCACTTCTAATTAACTGTTCAGATATCGGTAAATTAATTGTCATTGACTAATTACTGTATGATGTGATGTTTCAGAATCTCGCAGTGTTATGCTGCCGTTGTGTTTAAGTCATGTCCGGCAGTGTCTGCATCAGAAACAGTTTCTGCAGCTTGTGACGAGTACGCTCGGAGACATACTGGACAAATTGTTCACACTCAAACAGGTACTCAGCATATCAGATTCACTCAGGAAATTCTTAATAATAGAAAAGGAGTTTATTTATCTGATTGCTTACCCATTCCTCCCCCTTTTTAGCTCACCTGGGCTGAAAGCTCAAGTGAGCTTTTCTGATCACATTTTGTCTGTAGTCCGTCTGTCTGTCTGTCCGTCTGTCTGTAAACTTTTCACATTATCGACTTCTTCTCCAGAACCACTGGGCCAATTTCAACCAAACTTGCCACAAAGAATCCTTGGGTGAAGGGGATTCAAGTTTGTTCAGATGAAGGGCCACACCCTCTTTCAAGGGGAGATAATAAAGGATTAGTGAAAAATTAATAGCATCTTTTAAAAATCTTCTTCTCAAGAACCACAGGGCCAGGAACGAGGAAACTCATGTGGAACATCCTCATGTAGTGTAGATTCAGGTTTGTTCAAATCATGACCCCCGGGGTAGTGCGGGACCACAATGGAGGATCAAAGTTTTACATAGAAATATATAGGAAAAACCTTTAAAAATCTTCTTCTCAAGAACAGCAAAGCCATGATGAGTCATATTTAATTGGAAGCATCCTCAGGTAGTGTAGATTCAAGTTTGTTCAAATCATGACCCCTGGGGGTAGGGCGGGGTCACAATGGAGGATCAAAGTTTTACATAGAAATATATAGAAAAAACCTTTAAAAATCTTCTTCTCAAGAACAGCAAAGACATGATAAGTCATATTTATATGGAAGCATCCTCTGGTAGTGTAGATTCAAATTTGTTCAAATCATGACCCCTGGGGGTAGGGCGGGGCCACAATGGAGGATCAGAGTTTTACATAAAAATATATAGGAAAAACCTTTAAAAATCTTCTTCTCCAGAACAGCAAAGCCATGATGAGTCATACTTAATTGGAAGCATCCTCAGGTAGTGTAGATTCAAGTTTGTTCAAATCATGACCCCTGGGGGTAGGGCGGGGCCACAATGGAGGATCAAAGTTTTACATAGAAATATATAGGAAAAACCTTTAAAAATCTTCTTCTCAAGAACAGCAAAGCCATGATGAGTCATATTTATATGAAAGCATCCTCAGGTAGTGTAGATTCAAGTTTGTTCAAATCATGACCCCCGGGGTAGGGCGGGGCCACAATGGAGGATCAAAGTTTTACATAAAAATATATTGGAAATATCTTTAAAAATCTTCTTCTCAAGAACAGCAAAGCCATGATGAGTCTTTTATATGGAAGCATCCTCAGATAGTGTAGATTCAAGTTTGATCAAATTATGACCCCTGGGGTGTAGGGTGGGGCCAAATGGGGGATCAAAAGTTTTACATAAGAATATATAGAAAAAATATTTCTTCTCAAGAACAGAAAAGCTATGTTTAGTCATATTGATATGGAATTATCCTCAGGTAGTGTAGATTCAAGTTTGTTCAAATGATGACCTGTTGGATAGGGAGGAACCACAATGGGGGATCAAATTTTTACAAAGGAATATATGGGAAATTTTTTTTTTAACTTCTCAAGTACAACAAAGCCATTTGTTATATTGACATGGAAGCATCATCAGGTAGTTTAAAATTCAAGCCCCCCCCCCCAGGTGAGCGATGTGGCCCATGGGCCTCTTGTTTTACTGTTATGCTTAATCTTTTTTTCAATAACTGAATTTTGAGTCCAGACTGATATTTATATTTTGATCTGTTCCTCACAGGAGAAGGACATGTCTGACGACATTGAAATGTTTGCCAAATACATGTTTCCTGTTATGGTGGACACGACCTTGACCTTAAGTGAGAAAGTGGTTCCCCACTCCTTTTGTGCTACGGTAATTAAACGTTACATCTATATCTGTCTGTTGTGTTAGCAATGGTGGGTGTGTTTCTAACTTTTGTTTGATGCAGTGCTCCTCCTCATCTAATCCCTGATTAGTAATATTGGTCATTATTTCAATAGGAAAATTAAGAGAAAAGAAATCCTGATATTTGAATATCAGATAAGGGGTGGGAGCACTACAGTAGAGCTGAATAATACACTTTATTTACTTAGTTATCCATGTGTATATCTGTTTTCATTACACTAATACAAATATTTTGTTTAAAAGTCATATAATTTTTATGGGTATCATGGGACACATGTTTTGCTCTATCTAAATACTATGGTATATGAATCTTAACTAGTGTTCATAAAAATGTTGAGGAAATTGTTTTTTTTTTTTTCTAAATTTTAATTGGAGACATCTTTTATATAAATTCTGATAAATAATGAACAGTTTGTGATAGCTGGATGTTGTGTGTCTGAGTAATACACCAACAATTTTTAGTATTTTAAATGATTTTCCTACTGTAACCTTGTGTTTAGAAAGATAAATTTTATATTAAAAAGAATATGATCATATATTTTGTGTTCAAAAAGGCATGTTTATCATTCATGTATTCCTGGCGACTTAGTCACTGCAATCTCAGTCTTATATACTGAGTGACATAAGAAAGGATACACATTGACTTCTTGTCAAATGATATACCTGTACTTTGATCCTAAAACAAACTCAAGAAATGATAATTATTTGAACAAAACTGATGTCAATTATGAAGCATCAGGCATGTGTTTCATTCACAAAAAACTAAACTTTGTACCATTACTATGTAGCCACCTTATAGCAGTCCATGACATGACATCAGCTTCTTTAAGTCTGTCATGTTCTTGCATTCAGAAAATGATGTATCTTCTGTCTTTGATCTAAATTAATGATCATAACAATGAGAAAGAGAAAGAGCATTTCATACTTGAAAGGAAAAGAGAGGTTATACAACCTCTTAATTTCTTATTGATGGCATTAGGTGAGAATAAGGTGCAATTAAAATGTTGAGACTAAAAATTTTCCTCTTGAAAGCAACTGGGTTTATTGGGTATAGTCAAATGTTGGCAGCCAATTGTGTAGACTAGTTACCTTACTCGCATACATCTCTATCATCACACTACCCCACCTCCCCCCCCCCCACCCCCTTGAAATTAGGGTGATAAATAGTGATGGGGGTGTCCATCTGTCCGTCTCTACGTCCATCTATCCATTATACTTTGGCATTATACTCGAGATGGGAGCGGGAGGTATCGGTTTGAAATATCATTGCTCATAGTACCTCAGTTTTAATCACAGTTCTTTTAAGAAAGCAGTGACTAATTTTTCATGCAATTCACCACTTGAAGCCTTTTTTTTTATGTTTGAGAAATTACCTGCTTACTTAAGCAAATAACGTGCAAAATTCTATGGATTAATAATTATTAATAGTTTGCATCAAGCTTGATTGCTTTTCACTGCAACGTTTTAATACAAGTATTACATTGTTGGATTAAAGCCCGAGATAATAAGGACTGCCCTCAGATTTATCTAGTCTGTATACCCCGTCAATCAAGTGAATTAAGGTCGGCTCCATCATTGGGTGATTGAAATTGATTGACATTTAACTACTAGTCCCTGTATATAACTTGTACACTTTGTTTGACACTAGTGGCGACCTTCAAATTAACTTGCGATCTTTTGATGTTTACCACATATATATATATATATATATATATATATATATATATATATATACATATACATATATATATATATATATAACAGCACGATAAAGAAGCTGTATCAATGCAAAAAATTTTAACTTGTTTATATCTGTAATACAAACACATCAAAAAAATCTGAAAATGATTCAGTAAAATAAATCATGCTTGTGTATGATACTTTTTTCAACAAGTAAATTCCAATTCAAAGTACAATTAGGGCCTAATACATAGGTGACTGAAATCTTGTTTTCACTTAATTTGTAGAAGAATTTCTTTTGAGACATGGCGAAAAATTACGACGGAAAAAAAATATAGAGAAGAAAAAAAGCTGCTAAGACGACACTTTTTGCTTATAATGGATAGTGAAGCTGAAAGCAAAATGACTGTTCAGTAACAAGGGTTTCTTCTTTTTTTTACCCAGCATTTCTCGCTACGTGGTTTGTTACCTCCTTACCAGGATGTTAAAATATTTTTTTAAGGAAATACATATGTTAACAATTAATATATATTTCGTTTAAATTGTTTTATATTCTAATTTTAGTGAAATATATATATTTTTAACTCTATGAAAGCATCGTTCTCTCAAATTTTTCCACGCAACTTTTATTCATACAAACGGGAAGTAACTGTTCCATGTGTTCACATTAACTGTGATCGAAGCTCAAATGCTACAATATTTACGATAATAATTTTTAGCTCACCTCAATGAAGTTAGAGATGAGCTTATGCTTTACCCCGGCGTCGGCGTTAGCATCGGTGTCCCGGTTAAAGGTTTAGGAGCAAGTCCATTCCCAAGTAACTATAAGCCGTATCTGGACCAAACATGCATGGATGATGCATCTAGGGATGGACGCTACCACACTTGTTTCGGATGCTGGATCTGACCTACATTTTCCGATTGAGTGACCAGGTTAAAGTTTTTGGAGCAGGTTCATTCCCAAGTAACTATAAGCCCTACCTTGACCAAACTTGCATGGATGATACATCTAGGGATGGACACTACCACACTTGCTACGAATGCTGGATCTGACCTACATTTTCCAGATGAGTGACCAGATTAAAGTTTTAGGAGCAGGTCCATTCCCAAGTAAATATTAGCCCTACCTTGAACAAACTTGCACGGATGATGCATCTAGGGATGGACACTACCACACTTGCTTAGGATGCTGGATCTGACCTACATTTTCCAGATGAGTGACCAGGTTAAAGTGTTTTAGGAGCAGGTCCATTCCCAAGTAACTATTAGCTCTACCTTGAACAAACTTGCATGGATGATGCATCTAGGGATGGACACCACCACACTTGCTATGGATGCTGGATCTGACCTACATTATCCAGATGAGTGACCAGGATAAAGTATTTGGAGCAGGTCCATTCCCAAGTAACTATAAGCCCTACCTTGACCAAACTTGCATGGATGATGCATATTGGGATGTACGCTTACCATCCTGCTCTCGGATGTTGGATTAGACCTAGATTTTCCACATGAGTGAATTTTAGCTAGATTTTAACCAAATTAGCATGGATGATGTAGCTAAGGATGGTCACTTCCAGACTTGCTTTGAATTCTGAATCTGACTTACATTTTCCAGATGAGTGACCAGGATAATTTTTTTGGAGTAGCTATATAACATTATGGCCTGTTATGATTAAACTTGCATAGATGGTGCATCTAAGGATGAAAACTTCCAGACTTACTTTGGATGTTGGAACTGACCAAAATTTTCTTGATTAGTAAACTGGATAAACGTTTTTTGAACAGGTCTATTTCCAAGTAACTATAAGTCATACTCAAACCAAACATGCGTGGATATTGATCTTGGGATGTACACTAACTAAAAAAAGAATATGCTGTGAAATTTGCCTTACTTAAAGATAACATTCGTCAAGGTGAGCTTCGTAATCTTTAATTACCTATGTTTAAAAAATTGAAAAGGATAGGCAAGGATGAATATCTTACTTTAAAAACTGTACATGTTTTTAATTTTAACGATGAACTCTACTCATTGTTACAATGACATATGGTACATAGATTTTTAGAAAAAAATCGATGGGATTTCTGTTTGTTTCATATTGAGTATAAGCATGAAATTATGGAATTTTACAAATATTAGTTAATACTAATGATATTTTTTCTCGATGTAGAGATCTAATAATTTTATCTCCTGGTGAAATGTAGACCAAACAAGCTGTACAGGTAATACTTATGGACTTCCATAGGGATTAGCGCTCAGCATGGTCTGCATGACTGTCGATGCCTCAGGGTACCACTCATGTAAAATTAAGTCCCGCCCCTTACCTGAGAAAACTGTACGGTTAAAAATCTCAGCCTTTAAACATCTGGTACATTGAAAATTATGATACAGAGATGTTTTAATGGAAATTGATAGTGTATCCTTTCTTTTGTCCACAGTTACATACATATATTCAGTACATGCTAGTATTTCTTTGATGTAGAAGATTATGTTTCTAGTCATTCCTACATGTCATTGTCTGCTCTGTAGAGCTTTGTATTGATACGTTGTTGTAGCCCGCTATTTCACCACAACAAGAAACTCAAGATTTTGACTGTGAGGACGAGGAGGTACAGAAAAAAGGAAACAAACGACAGGTCGACCGTGATCGCCGCCGCACTCTGACGGGAATTAACTTCTTTACCTCCAAACCAAGACCGCCCTCCATCTCAATGCAAACTCCTACCCATAGTTTGAAAACTATTGATAGTACCCCAGTCAAAAGTGTAGGCATTCGGAATATCATTCTTATTTTTACTTTACAACAAAATACAGTAAAACAGTATCTAGTCAACATATTTAGAGTTAATATCTGCTAAAAGTCAAATATTGTCCCAATCATCTGTAAATAACAATATTCTGTAATGAAATTCTGTTGTCTTTTCCTCGTGACTTAAATTGTTAAAAGTTTGTTTTACTGTATGATTTTAAAATTAAAGTTCATAATTATCACGTTAATTAAACTAAAACATTAAAATATCAAATGTTTTTAAATAAAAAATACTTTTTTTATTAAATCATGATGTGAGATAAAAATTTTTAAATCAGATTTGTAATTTTGGACAACTGGTTTTATGTGATTTGATGTAATTTTAATTCATCAAAATAAAATTGAAAATGCTACGTAGCTAAAATGCCCATTTTAAAGAGTAAATTATGAAAAAATTATGAAAATGTTCACCTTGATTTCCTAAACCCTCGATCTTTTTTGTGAGATGTTACAATGTTCATGCATTCATTCATTGCTAGTTGGAAATTGGCGAAATCTTCAAGAAAAAAGCCCCCACATTCTCCATGGAGGACCTCGGACTGAGTGTAAATTTCACATTGAAATACGCATGATAACCACAGGACAAAGCTGCCGCATGCTGTCTTGTAAATGCTTTTCCTTAGAATATAAGCATTCTGACAATTATCTTAGGAAATTTAAGATCTTTTAACACATGTCTGATATATTGATTTTTCCAGGGATTATTTTTCTTGCATCTGTTATTGTCTGTGCTTTTCTGTGATGCATGTGTCAAAAGTTATTTAATATATGCTTCTGTCATTGTCTGATTTGCTTCTCTCTGAATATGATTGAGAGAACCTGCTCATTATCTTAAAGGACAAAATGTCCAACACTTAATATTAAATAAATTGCAAGTGATACATGCAAGACCTTAATTATCGTACATAAAAAAAATAAATGTATCATATAAATGTACCATGTACATGTGTATATGTTCTTCAAGACATTTCCCCCCAGTGCATATCCTTGAAAAGCCATTATTTTAGATATATGAAGTAGGGTACCAGTTGGTGTGTGCATTTAGAATGTATTCAAGGCCAAACAGCAAGGTTTTTTTTACTTCTATGCTGACAATAAAGATTAATGCAACACTGTTTAACATTCATCTTTTCTATAAAATTACCTTTATGACTGAACTAACAAATTTGTTCTTTACAACACTCTAATGCTTTGAAGGCAGAATGACTTGTGCTCAAAAAAATCAAGTTTTCTGTTTGATGGCCATTTTCTGTTACGGAAGATGGCAGTTTGATTAAAATTCAAGCAAAGCTAGTATACAGTATGGGGTAAAATCTTAAACAATTCATTGTTATAAATGAAAATTTTAGAAAGGAACAGTGATTTAATAAATATAAGAATTATCTCCCTTAGGAGAAGGTCATTGCTCCATGAAAACAGATAAATTCTTTTAAGTGTGTGTAAAATCTTATAAAAGAGAATAAACATATCAAGTTTTAGTTTTCTTTTTTTTCACCAGAATCAGAAAAAAAAAATGTTTGAGCTGCTGGTCTAAAACCATTTAGCATACATATCCAGAGGTACTGAAAAGCTAACCTTTAATGGCTGTTTTCTTTAGGGAGAAATGATCTCTTGTATGGCTGAACTGCTGAGGCTGATGGACCACAGACAATACAATGTAATCCTGAAACCAACACAGGTCCCACTTAAGGTAACTGTGACAGTCCTGTAAACACACTTAGATTTGCAAAATAAACATTCCAGGATATCAAAGTTTTAATATGAAAATATTTTGGATGGAAACAATGTCTGAGTATAGATATTAAAAAAAATGTAAGCTGTGTATACAATTTTATATAGCAATGCTACACATAATGTAAAAAGTGATAAATTAAAGCATTGAAATATGTATGAGAGTTATTTCCCTTTGAGAGTAAACTGGTTAATCTTTGCGAAACGAAACCATTTTAGGAGTTTCTGGGTAAAGTACTACTGACCTTCAGAGAGTTGATCAAAGAAGACTTATTCCCCCCGGGGTGGACAGTCATGAGGATGGTTATCAATAAGTAAGGATTTGTTACTGATGGCTATTATTAAAAGAGTTAGAAAGCTCCGTATGTGACTCTTTTTCATATAAATCTGAAGTTGTGTACACGTATATACAGTATGAAATACTATATCTGTTTCAGTGCTCTATTTACTGCAATAGAATACTTGTCTTCAGTTCTCAGTGAGCACTTCCTCAAGAAAGATCAGTTTGATATGCAGGTATCTATGTATTACTCTTAATCCAAAATTTTATAGTTGAAACATGCTTTGTCTTATGATGAATGTATAAGAGATTGTATAATTTGTTGATTAGCTGTGGAGTCATTATTTTAACCTGGCGGTAGCCTTCATCACTCAGCCCAGTCTACAGCTAGAGAGGTACTCCGAGGCCAAGAAACGCAAGATCATCGACAGATACCAGGACATGAGGATCCTAATGGGGCAACAGATACAGAATCTCTGGGAAAACTTAGGTCTGTGATTGACAGTCTGTTATCACTGAAAAATAATTTTACTTCTTTGGTGGGGGGGGGGGGGGAATGAAAGATGAATGTTGTTAGATCATATAGTGTTTCAAAAACTTCTCAGTCCTTAATGTGTCGTAACTTTTTTCTTTTCATCGTACAGGTGCCAATAGACGACATTTTATTCCGTCTCTGATTGGTCCTTTCCTGAAGGTGACTTTGGTTCCTGAAGAGGAACTCAGAAAGGCCACCATTCCAATATTCTTTGACATGATGGAATCAGAGATGAAAACCTGTGGAAATTTCCAGTTGGTCAGTATCATATCTGTAACTGTAAATTTATGGAAATTCTTATGTTTATAACTTTCTTTTTTTCAAATCTGCATTTTTTTTAATTTCTGAAAACTGCTGTACTTTGTTTTTAGGTAGAGAATGAGATGATAGAAAAACTGGATGAATATATCACCACTGAGAACCTAGGAGACACAGATTACATGGCTCTGTTCAGTACAATGTAAGTAAACACACATCCAGTAACATTAGTCCTCCACTGTTCAGTACAATGTAAGTAAACACACATCCAGTAACATCAGTCCTCTACTGTTCAGTACAATGTAAGTAAACACACATCCAGTAACATAAGTCCTCTACTGTTCAGTACAATGAGAATTAACACTCATGCAATAACACCAGTCTTCTAATGTTCAGTACAATATAAGTTAACACACATCCAATAACACCTGTCTTCTACTGTTCAGTAGAATGTAAGTAAACACACATCCAGTAACATTAGTCCTCCACTGTTCAGTACAGTGTAAGTAAACACACATCCAGTAACATCAGTCCTCTACTGTTCAGTACAATATAAGTTTACACACATCCAGTAACATTAGTCCTCCACTGTTCAGTACAATATAAGTTAACACACATCCAATAACACCTGTCTTCTACTGTTCAGTACAATTTCAATTTTCAGTTTGTTTATTTACCAATTATTTACCAAGTACAATATACGTCGTCTCACATCCAGTTGCAGTAATCCTCCACTATTCAGTACAATGTAAGTTAACAAACATCCAGTAAACATTTAAGTGCCAGTAAACTTCCTAATCAGTTCAGAAATCTCTCTGGGTTGAAGTTCAGTGTTCAGTGAGTGTTTTGTCTTATTTTACACTCTGTGTAGCTAGCACGGTTCTCCTTGGGTTGTAAGGTGAATCAAATAGAAGTATTTCTGTTGTGGGGGCAGGGATGGGGAGGGAGGATCATGTAGAGTCAGTATGCTTCAATTGTTCATCTGGTGGTATGTAGAGGTTGCTCCCCTTTGCCACTGTTTTACTATGGTTAGATGGTGTGTCAGGGTTTGTGTGAAGACAAAGTACCCAGTAGTACAATATTGTATTGTCAGTGTGATTACATTGTATGAGTATCATGTTTATTACCTTTTATGTCTAGATAAAGGAATTTCTCAACATACACATGATACAAGTACTTGTCCATCTATATCCAGTTGTGTTAAAGAGTTTTGAGTCACATGATTTTGTTAATAATGTTAATAATTTATACTTACCGGTATGTTTCATGCAACAAAAAAATCATTCTTTGTTTAACATGATGATTTTGCTTTACTAATTTACTCCATTTGAAGAGAAAACACTCCTGGATATCAACCACTGTCCTACCACTGATCCGGGTAGAACTCACTGTAAAAATTTCTGATATTTTTTCATGACTTCATTGGATTTGAATCATGATTAAAAAATTTAGGAAGCCAACTTAGTATAATTGGTAAGTAAGGGCACTTAAAATTAATATTTTGACTCCAATTCCCCAGTCTCTTCACTCGTTCTGACTTTCCAGTTCAACATTTTCTGCAGTCCTACTAAACAGAGAACCCTAGAGAACTCTAGCTATATTTGGTTAGTTCAAGTAAGTATTCTGCGTAATTGAGTTGATAATCACTTTTTATATAATGTTTAATTAATAAAATTAATAAAAAGTTTATTTTAGGAGTGTTTTCCCATGAAAATAGTGGAAAAACGTAATAAAGTATTAGACGGTGAAATATTTTTGTCATCCCGATCCCGATTGAATTTCCTATTTAGTATTTCATTGATTCTAACATAGGATGTGTGAAAAATATATTTTTAAAACATTATTTTGTTTTTGTATGATATATTAACTATAAGAAAACATAAATAAATCACTGAAATACAATAAATAATTAAAATCATTAGGGTTCTCTAAGGTTCTTTAGAGTTCTCTAGGGTTCTCTGTTTAGTAGTACCCCATTTTCTGCCATAAAGATTTGAGGTTTGTTTTAGTGTCCAATCTCTGCTGTTGTTCAGATGAGAGTAATTTTTTGTTCAGCTGTGAAACTGCACAACACTAGAGGAAGTTAAGGTGGCTTGTTCAAGTCTTTAGGTATTGAATTCACTGAAATACATATTTTGTTGTTAAATCCATTTTACTATACATATTAAAATCAAGAATGAAGTGGGAATAAAAAAAACCCAGATATCTTTCATTATCAGTGTACTATATTGGTAAGCAAAATGACTTGCATATTTGACTTGTAGATACATGTATATTAATTTACAGATATGTTAATTATTGATATTAAAGACAATTAAGTTGGCTTTGGAAAAAAATCATGAATATTACCACTTTCCTCATTCCTTTAAAGGTTGAAGGATACAATTAAAAAAAAAATTATGTGGATGAAGTATTCCAATTGGGGGGGGGGGGGGGGGGGGGGGTATGATTTCTTGTTTTATATCACATTTTGCTAGCTGCACAAAATCATTTATAAAGTTATAAATGAAATTACAGAGGTAAAAAAAAATGGTAGAAGGTTCATTTAGAAAGGTGGAACAAAGGTTAACCAGAGTTCTGGGCCCTATTTTACAGACTGAAGAATTATACTTATGAATAAGACCAAAATGCAAATAAATTTCTTTTTTGCATTAATTTTAAAATTGGTTTTAAACTTTTTAAAAAGAAATTTTTATGCAAGCAATTTTGAATTGAAAAATTAGTTTTGTAAGATTTTACAATCAACTGATGTTTTTTGGTCTTAGTCGTAAGTTCTTTTGTAAAACGGAACCCTAGCTGGATTGGAATGTTTGAACAGGGATCAGATAAGTAGCAAGATTATCTTCAAATTTCAGTATGTTGAAAAAATGTAATACATGAAAAAATGACCAAGTAAAATTAATTTACTGCTACTTCCTCAAATGTAAAAGCCAGTATTATGTGTTAATACCTTGAGACAAAATAATCTTTGATAGCAGTTGAATCAGGTAAGACACAGAGGATTACATACTAGACATGTGTTTTACTGAGTAATCCTAATTTTTACAGCTGATCGTCCTTTGAGATCAAACAAACAATTGATGATATGATTATGACACCTTGTATAAGCGTGGATAAGACACCACTTTATATTTTATGACCAGAGGTGTTAAAATGGTCCACACAGAGGGAATAATTGTTTAACATGTAAACATAAAAGACAGGCAAGGTGCAATAATGATTGCATGCTGTGTTAGATGTAGGAACCGTCTGCCCTATATGGGTGTGAAGTACTCTCAATTATTGCATGACAGCCTCGGGGCATTCTAGTACGACTGTATAGAGTTTCCTGACCCCTCATTGTCTGTTGTGACACTAAGATATTTGTTTTATATGAAAGCCACTAGGGTTTTTTACTTCGGTAGTATTAAAGATCACTAAGGACTGTACCCAATACCAATATTTTTAAGAGATTCTCTTTTTTTTGTGGCAAACTTTAAAACCACTCAATAAAGTAATATTTGGAGCATTGAGGCCTGACATCGGCAAAAGAGGAGATTTTGTGTGGAGATAATTTGTCCTTTAATGTAAACAGAAGTTCCCAATTTAAATATCCATAATTTGTTATCAGCTGAAAGCGTAACCTAAGTGATCGGAGGGTCTGTATTTAGCCATTGTGAGAGGGTCTATTATACTGGTGTTGTGTTGACTTGGGATTATTGTGACAAGAACAGTGTGTCCTCGGAAAGCGTCAGTGCCCCTCCAGACTGGTGGATGAGGTATATCCCACATGAGGAATATAATGAATCCCGGCAGAAGGGCCTCTCAGAAGGGCCTAGGGCCTGGCTGTCGGACCGAGAAAAACTTCAGATCACGGAGTAAGTCACAGCCTAATCTGTACCCATGGAGGAGAGGGTCCTGTTCTAAATACCAAAGTGAGGAAGGTAGTGGAGATCAGAATTTATCTGGATTGTCTGCATCCCAAAACAGGAGGAAATCTCTATCTAGATTTTCAAGGTTTGTAGGGTCTGAGTGAAATTATGCCTCAGAGAAAAAAAGTAATTTTTATTGTGGAATTCAAACTTTTATTAGCTGAAAAAAATTGGACTGAAAATTTCAAGAAATTTAAATTTGAATAGCCCGCTTTCACATATATAGTTTTATATGTGTTCACCTCTAGTGTTTGGTTAAATGTCTCAGTAGCTAGTACATGAAAACTCACTTTTCCTGGCAAGAAAAAATTATTTCCAAGGAAAAAATGTTTAATGATACATATGTTTGTACACCAAGAAGAAATTGCTACAAATAAATCCATTACTTGGTTTAAAAGGGGGAGGGATATTTTAATTTATCAGTATTATGTTCTCTTGTGTTACAAATATATTTTCATTATTAATAATATATTTGCCCAATTTTATTTTATGGTGCATGATTTAATTTCATGATGCTTCAATATAAAGGTGTTAAAAATATTTGTTTCACTGGTATCCATAAAGAAATCTTGATGTCTTCTCTATGTCTCAATGCACACTATATGTATGTCACAATTACATCTTGATAGAGACAGAAAAATCAATAGATTATGAATTAAAGTTGATACCAACTTTTTTCCTAGAAGTTTATGGTGGCTTATTGATAATGCAGTATAAAATTTAGTATTTAGTCATGGTAGGAGTTTACACATGTACGAGAGTAAGCATTGCTTTATGCCATTATAAAAGAGTGACATGTTTTATTTTCTGTTAGATTTCTTTATTTTGGCCTTTGAACTGAAGAGAGGAGTATTTATACAGATGTTTTCACTTATCAAATTTAAGATCAAACAACCTCACACATTACTGTACTCTATTGCTGTCTACCATCAATCAATTTGTTATTTACTTCCAACAGACCAAAAATTCACAGCTTTTAATTACTTCACTTTCCTGCTGTTTGTTTAGAAGAAAGAAGTTGGTAACTTTATAAACAACATGAGAAGGCAAATGTCACACTTCATTATGAAATTTTAAAATTAAAGATTATTAAATTGCATTTCATTAAAGTACATTGTTTAATTGATTTATCTAAGGACAACCAATTACTTGCAATTTAGTTTACATGATGGATGTTCCATAGGAACGTGTAGACAAAGTCAGCTGGTCAAATAAATTCTGTCCTTTCAGACTGCAGTCTCATTTTCTTTCCACTATTTGCCAACAAAAGTTGAAGAAACTTGTGCATGAAAGCTATTACTGGAATAGGTTGTTGTGATTTATGAATGGCTAGGGAACTGTTTCTGTGGGGAGACAGACCATTGGCAGCTCCCTCTACTGATAGCGCCAACCAGCAGGTGCTCCCCTGCTTCCTCACTACTGAAGAACAGCCACAAAATCAAATACTTCTCAAATTCTACAAAACTTAATGGACAGCCACTTTCTTCTTCTAAAGACAAGCTTCTGTAGCGCAATGTAGGCTTCTGAGAAAATCTTCTCTGTTCCTCCTGTGTTGGTGAGATGTCTATTTGATTTGTGTCTATTTGGGGAGCTGTTAATTGATAAATTGTGAAATAATTCTGTGTTTTTGGTGAGGATGAAAACACCTCTGATGTTTAAATTCAAGAAATTTGATCAGGCAAAGTAAGTATGATGGTTTAATTAATATTGATGCATTAATGGAATTGCATATGATTTTCTGAGCAGTCTCTTTAAAGAGTATGATTTGAAAATCTTGCAATGAGTTTTATAGTGAACTGATAAAGACAACTCACTTTTTGCACTTACCTCCCAATTTTGTTAACGCAAGTTATTGAAAAAATTACTTTTTGAAACTTACAATTTCAATAGAAGTATTTATCATGTAAAAAATCTTGCTGATATAAAATTGAAAGTTATTTGTAAATTCAATATTAAAAAAAAACGGAAAAAGAGGGGTATTTGATCAACCGCATAGCATTAAGAAAGTGGTAAAATGATAAAGCCAAAGAAAAAGCAACAAATGTTATTCTTTTCTCATAAAGCAGGCGGTACTGTTAAATGACTGGAAAATAACGGAGATAACACCCCTCATTAGAAGCAGTGCAAATAATGACTAGAGCAGACAGATCCCATGTAGTGATGACCCATACTCTTACTACAGGGGGGTTAGGAGGAGATTAGCCTCCAATCTAGCTAATTTACACATTTTCAATTTCAATGGCATCCAATACACAGAATTTAAAACGTGAAGTTTGTATTTACCCTTGTTTGAGTTTATAGGTATTTGATGAGGGGACATACCTATAAACTGAGTGAATTGGGGGAGTGCTATACATGTAAATACATATAAAGTCCTGGGGAGTGGTGGTGTACCTATAAAGGTTTTGTTCACTTCATTAAGACCCAGACTCCTTGTCACCTTTCAGCTGAATATAAATAATCCAAGTCTGTATTTCTAAGACCAAACCCTGCTCCTTTGGGAGTCCTGTAGAGGTTGGATTCAGGAAGTGAATAGTTGCTGCAATTGGCAGATTGGATTAACCCACTGCCATCTTGTTATTGACAGTGGATATATTTGTTTGACAGGAACCATTTTACACTTTCTGAGTGATGACACATCACTAAGCATCTTGGCAAACAATAAATTCATATATCATATTTTGTGTGGATTTTATTCTACAAAGGAATACTTTCAAATTGTACCAACAACACTGGTGTATACAATTTTTCAGTTAAACTTCAGTGTACTATATATGTGTTCTGCAGCATTATTATGGGACTAAAGCACAATTATATAAACATTTAGATGATAAAATGGTAAAATTCTTCCACAGATTGTTGGATAAAGTTGAGAAAGAACCAGAATTGAAGGAAAATGGCCGACAGTTTGTCCTATCTGTCACCAACCTTCTGGAGAGGCTGCTGGACTATAGGTAAGATTTGAGGGGGTGAGGACATGGGGGGGGGGGGCTGTAAATGTGATTTATTATGTCAATACTTCTAATATTTGAAAGGTAACATGAATAGAGAAATATTTTTTCTTTTACGTATTGGCAAACCAAAACATTGATTAACTTTGTGTAAGAAAAACTACAATAATTGTTTATTAAGGAGAAGCAGGAACTTGAGCCGAAGTCAAAGAAATCTGGTCCATCGAATTTTTTCATATTTTATATCTTACTAATTTAGTATATCCTACATATCTTAAAGCAGTTTTGTCATCAAATTTCTTCACTTATTTTAGAGAAACTGCCAAAAATATTGCTACGTTCAGTTTTGCTACTTCATGTTTATGGGTCCATTATACTGGCCTTTCTTACACAGAAATAATATGAATGTGGATATGTGCCTCTTCAAATATTTCTGAATATGAATTGAGTTCAAAATTTTTATTTCACATTGCATATGGATTGGATTAATTATGTTCTTTTTAAGAAAACTTTAACCACAAAAACATGTATGAAAAAAAAAAAAAATTATCAATCAATATTTCAATATTTATAATAGAACTAAAGTCCTTTATATTATTGTCTAACTGTAGCAATATTGAAAGGTTAAGCCTACCTCAATGTTCTACAGGACATCTTTAAACACGACGTAAGCGTGATAAAAACACTTCATGTTTACATTCTCCAAGTATGAGAAAAAACAAATATGACGTCACATGCAACTTTGCAAGCAAAATAAGATATACAAAGAAACACTGTTACCATCCACGAAAAATTATGATTGTGTTCCTGTTTCAATTTATCTCAAGATCACCATGCATTCAGGGTTCGACACTAACTTTTTTACCTTGGTGGACCGCAGGTCCACTAGTCAAAAATTATTGGTGGACCTTCTTAAATTCTGGTGGACCTTCATAAATGTTTGAATTAATGAATGAATAAGAATTCATTACACAAGGCTTGAAACTAACTTATGTACTCAGTCCAGTCAGACTAATAAAGTATAAGTTAACCAGTCAACAGAATCAAATCAATTAGTCAGGAGTTTTCAGCAATATTGTTAAACATATTTTCAATAATTAAAAAAAGAACACAATTTATATCTTCAAACAATAGTAAAAGCCTGCATTTATTTCGCTTCCAACGGTAGATAAAAGTTGAATCCTAATTGTTCATATAAACAGGTGAATATAAACAAGTGAATTTTTCATGTATCTATGGCTAATTTTTTTTTAACTACGATGCAAAACAAAAGTATATGTATTTATTTATTGTTTATATGTATTTATTTATTATTGTTTTTAATTATTATTCATTCAAATAAACTGCGATGATATGATTCTTTTATGTGATATTATGTATAGCAGAAAAAAAAAACAGGAACTGCAGATACATGTAATGTATTCATAAAATATAAATCACGCCTGTTTGAAGATCTAAAAAATAAACAATGCATAAATGCAGCTGTCAATCAATTCTAATTATCTCCAAACCTGGCCATCAGTGTGCGTTCAGGCGTGAAGTGATTTCCTGTTAGCCAGTGTACATTTTCACACCTTTCTGTGCATTAAACAAAGGACAGACTGACTAATTTGGCACGAATTTTACATGCTACTTTTTCAAGGTCCGTGTTAAATGTTCTTGCGTCTCAGTGTTATTGTTATTCTGCAAGTTTGTAACAAGTTTGGATGAATTAATCGTTTGATTTACGGATGTCGATTTTTAGGGGGAAAAAAGGAATTTTACCGTGTTTTTTAATACAGTGTTTAAATTTTAAGTGGACCGACGGTCCACCTAGTCCAGAACATTTGGTGGACCTTCCAATTTTTTGGTGGACTCGGGCCGCCGGTCCACCGTTAGTGTCGAACCCTGTGCATTGACTATCACCTGTTTGATAAAATAAATTTGATTGTGTAATCAATATGTACATGATCTTTTTGCACTAACAGATCAAGAATTGGTAAAGGCGCAGAGTAGGGAAACAGAGGATTGGACAAATCTTCTTCAGAATTTATAAATATTGATATGAACATTTGAACTTGAAATATTTTTATATAAGATGAAGAAGCACAACAATTTGTACAAAGATTGTACAAATATTATCTTAAGCATCAACATTAGCAGAGATTGTGACGTACTCTATTGCGTCATGAGTCCTGCTTCCCTTAACTCTGGCGCTCGTTCCATGATCGGAAGGTCATGTGTTCGAATCACAGCCGTGACTGACCTAAGTCGATAAAAAATAGGTAGCAACTGTTCCTTTGCCAAGCGCTCGGCACTTTGAAGTGAAAGTTGCGGGTCCTTAGAATGAGACTTTAAAACCAAGGCATTGTGTCACAGTAAGCGTTGGCACGATAAAGAACCCTCACTGCTCAATGGTCCTGAGTGTCGAGTAAAGGTCTAAATTTGAAGCCTTTCACCGGCATATAGTGACATCTCTATATGAGTGAAAAATTCTCAAACGGGACATAAAACAACATACAATCAATCAATCAATCAATCCCTTAACTCTGTGGGTGAGCAATTCAGCTGCAAATAAAAATAGTTTCCAGAGATTTTCTTTTAATTCACCAGTGTATTATTTTCTACTTTGTGGTGTCTGTATAGTAAGAAAAGTGTAAATTCATTGGAATCTGTTTATAAATAAAAGCTGTACAGCTGCCCTTAAGATAATTTGTTTCATTGTGGATCTGTTTCTGTTACAATGTGGAGCTGCAGAGTTACGTGGGTATATTGTATTATGGCTGTTTCTTATGTTCCAAAACAGCTTTTTAAATGCACAAAATGATAAATTCATGCAAATATTGACTCAAGTTTTTTTCTTTTTTAGGCAAGTTTGTGGAGGGGAGGACCATAAAAGCAGTCATATGAAGTGTACCTTCAATATACTGGTAGGTATAAAGTAACAACTATCATACAAATCTGGTAAAGATCTAATCTACCAATGTACAGTCTCATCTTCAAGGCCAAAAAAGCAATATGACTCCTTAGATAGCCCAGTGTTTGTAATTTTGAGTGGCGATTAATTAACTTTTGGGTGGTTCTGGAATTTTGAGTTGAGATTAATTAACTATTGGGTGGTTCCGGAGATGTAGGTAATGAACCTTGTGTGCTATTGAGAACTTTGTGAGCAATGTGAACAGAGAAATGGCAGAGTTATATGTTGCAATGGTATATAGCTTGGTGATTTAGGGTGGACATGGATCAGAAGAGATTCTAGGGTGTCATGGTAGTGTCTGTTTGTACTTTTTGTTCCACAATCATGAGATTTATACAATAATAATATTCACATGATAAAAAAAAAAAGAAATCGAAAAAAAATAACTTGGTCAATGATTTAATTTAGCCTTGGTGCCATACCACACTTATCCCTCAGTAAGCTGTTTAATAACCATACACTGAAAACAACATATGGTAGGCCTCTTAGAATCCACTCAACCTCCGAGAAGTTGTAAATTGTCAAACGGAATGAAATTTGATGTGATCAACTGTAGCTTAACAACTTGAAGCTTTTCTTTGGCATGGTTCATTAATTAAGTCAAAATCGTTAGACTCTGCAGGCTTCCTCTGCCGACCCTCCTTAAAAAACAGAAGAGAAGAAACACATGGAAACCATTCATCTGAAAGAATGATCTATGGTGAAATACCAAAAAAAAATTCACTGCCAAATTTATAAAAATAAAAATCTATTTATGAAGCCGGAGATGATCAATCCAGGTTGTATTATGTAATGTGGAATGTTTTAGCTTGTTTATAAAAAGGAGATTGAAACACCCACCCAATGCTGTGTGTATGAATTCCAGTCGCTTTTCCAAGCAGCTTATTTTGTAGTCAAATAATTAAAAGTAGTGTTTTATATATATAGTATTCATAATGGCAGCAGAAACTTATTAATAATAAATCTCAAAGGATCATTGTGAAAAAAATTGCTTGAAATAAGTTTTGTTTAGATGAAGTGAGCACTATTCAGCATCATTTACTTATCCAAACTAAGAATGCTGTATACATGTATTTCCTTTATAAGTTTGGTACATATAATCATGATAATACTGTATGTGTACTTAAAAAAGCGGGCTTATTTTAGCGGCTTTGGCGTAGACAATGATGCGCTAATTTATGAATACTGCCAAGAAATCATTTATATATACAATACAGGACACAGACCTGTGTAGCGCTAATTCCTGATTATGATGACAAGTCAATACCCAATGATAATGCTAAATTTTAAATACATCAATTTATGTCCACATACAGTATTGCAAGAGGTAATGTGCTTAAAGTACCAGAGGTTTTCCCTGTTCTGTATTTATACTGACATAGTTTTATGATTAGTCAAATTAATTTGATTTTTTTGTAGAATTTTTACAAGGACAACACAAACAAAGAAGAAATGTATATTCGGTACATTAAGAAGCTATACGACCTTCACCTCACCGCTCAGAATTACGTGGAGGCAGGGTTAACTCTGAAACTGTATGCCCAGCTGTTACAGTGGAGGGATACAATGAGGAAGGAGGAGCTAGACTACCCTAACCAACCAGAGTGGGAGAGAAAGGAGAGGGTCTACCTTCAAATCATGGACTGTTTCGACAAGGGCAAGGTTAGGATTTATTTTTAACTATAACAGTGAAGTGCTACATAACGGTGTATTTCTGTAACATTCATTTTGACTAGGTATGTACTGGAACTTTATTTTGGGTTCTGATTACATTTTATTTTGTCTGTAAATTGATAAATGTCCTTGTATTTTAGATTGCATAATAGATATATACACCATAAAAAAAATTCGAAACTTTTTCAGGTTTGGGAGTATGGTATTCCTTTGTGTAAAGAGTTGGCAGAGGTCTACGAGAAGAAATTTGATTACAGGAAGCTGAGTAACGTTCTGGCAAGTATACATCTAGGTCAAAGGTCAAATCTGTCATTCATCATATTTTTTGAAACTGCATGGATAACTTTCATAGAAAATAAAAATTTAATGAATAAAAAATGTATGCTAGAGTTTTTCCTTATGTAAGTCATAGATAACCTTTTTATCATTCTATTTTGCCTTTAACAGGAGAGACAGGCTAGATTTTTCAGTAATATACTAGATGGGGTCAAAGTTCAGGAGGAGGGGCAGGACAGACCCGTTTTCTACCCCCGACAAGAACCAACCTACTTCAGAGTGGCCTACTATGGACAACTCTTCCCACTTTTTGTTAGAGTGAGTCAAAGTTTATAAGCTAGGTTATACAAATAATGATGCTTGAAAGTCCTGGTTTTCATACAGGCAAGTGGTGTATAAAAAACTGACTGATCAAGAATTAAATTCTTTCAGAACAAAGTGTTTATCTATAGAGGAGATGAGTGTTTAAAGCTACAGGACATAATTAATCAACTGAAACAGGAGTACCCCATGGCTACCATCCTACAGTTCACCAACACCATTGATGAAGACAAGAAACAGGGGGAGGCTCAGTGTAGGACATTAGTTAATTCCCTTTGTATATTAAGCCTTCATTAAATCTACTCAGTGTAGGACATTAATTAATTCCTTTTGTATATTAAGCCTTCATTAAATCTACTCAGTGTAGGACATCAGTTAATTCCCTTTGTGTATTAAGCCTTCAATAAATCTACCTGGTGTGGAGAAAAAAAAAAAAAAAGCAACACATGCTCAACAATTAACTTACTATAATTATTTATTTTTTACTCGAATAAAGGAGACAAGAATAAGATATATTTCTGCCTGACATTTTCTGTTTCAGACATACAGATTGGTAGTGTGAAGCCTCGACCTGAGGACAAGCCTGAGTTTGTATACAACACAAATGTGGCTCCTGAGATTAAGAACTTTTATGCAGTTAATGATGTCAGTACATTCCAGTTTGACAGATCTTTCCACAGAGGAGAAAAGGATCCCAATAATGAGTTCAAGGTATCCTCATAAAACATTTGTCATCAAAAATTGGGGCTGGTAATTGGTCTCGTTGCATTATGAAAAAACAACATTTTCCTCAAAAACTAAACATGATTTTCTAGGTGATAAAATGGTGACTTAAATTAAAAAGATTTAATATTTGATATTTATGGATATTAGGAAGCAAATTTCAATAGCGAATAATGTAATCAATGTTTTGATGTTAGTAAATTCTGATGTCCCAATTGTTTTCTTTTTACCCAGACCCTTTGTACGGAGAGAATGGTGATGCACACAAACTACTGCTTCCCTGGGATTTTACAGTGGTACGAAGTAATTAGAACAGAACATGTGACTCTTAGTCCTGTGTGTACCGCTAACGAGGCTGTCAAATCAGCCTGTAAAGAATTACAGAAGGAAATTGACAAAACTAAAAAAGACTCTTCAATTGATGCCATCAAGTCTCTGTCTATGAAATTAAATGGAATGATTAGTGCTTCAGTTCAAGGGGGAATTCCTAAATATCAGGAGGTACGATTTTCAAACTTTGAATGTATTAATTTAAAATAAATTGGTTTACAGCATTGTGATTGAAATAAGGATAGCCATTTTTATATTTGTAAATGTCATATTTGACAAGGCTGCAGTGTAAAGTTTTGCACACATGGACATTTTTAGGTTTCTTGTTTCATAAATTAAACTCCATTTTACAGGCCTTCTTTACACCAGAGTACGAGAGACTTCACCCCGAGGAAAGGGACAGAATCCGAGAGCTGAAGGAGCTACTGAATGAACAGGTCAAGCTACTGGACGCAGGACTCCACCTGATGAAGACCATGGACCGAGTACACGGGACGGGTTTATCTGACATGCTGCGGTCACTCAGTGAAATCTTAAAGGAGATTAAGGAGAGTCTAGGCATGCAGTCATCATCTGTCCACAGGACTTCCTCTCATCTCTCTATGACTTCAGTAAGGGTAGGTATCCTCAGTAACTAAAAATGTCTACAGGTTTTTCTTGCTCTTTTAACTAGACGATCCCTGAATCATTATCAAGAGCAAAATCTTAACTGAATTTCATGAACTAAATTCTTTACATGTATATATAGATTAACCTTGTGAAAAGTATTTCTTGTTATGTATTTTAAATCATTGCCTATAGACACAATGATAAGTGCATTCAAATATTTTTTTCCTCGATGATGAAAATTGTTTTAACATTGCTTAAAAATTGTCAAGGTAAAATATGAATTATAATACAACAGGAGGTGAATCGACGGTCGGACTCTGGAGTGGACAGCATGCTAGTCGAGATGAGGCCAGGGACCCCGGGCAGTGGGTCCCTCCATTCTTCCAGCAGGTAGGTCAAGTAGTAATTAAAATCCATGTAGTTCACATGGTGTGACTGTTTTGTTAATTAAGAAATGATAAAAATACACAAATATATAAATACATTAACCATAATCATATACTTGTTCTTTGATATAGTAACAAACGCAGTGATGATCCTTACTTATTTTTTTCAGTAATCGTTCGTCTGGTTACTCGGCTGATGCAGTGTCAGGAGACCTGGTTGACTTGTCAGAACCAGAACCAGTTTCAGCACCAGAGGTTAGTTGTCTGTCCGGCTCTGTTGATTTTGGTGTAGCGCTGTAGTATAGCTTCACTTTTTGTACACCCTGTAGATTATAACATGTAGATAAGGAATACTTGATATTTCTTTTCTTCAAAAAACTGTATTTCATGTACATAAAGGATTTGATTTTAATCTGATTTAAAAAATTTTTTTAAAGCAGTTAAACAAATTTCATTGATGCCCTTAATACCATAGCAATTTTTTTCATATAATTAATACTAATTTTTTTTTTTAATAGGACCAACAGCTTAATATTTACATTAGAGTGAAAATAAATTATATATTACCTAATTTGAAAAAAATGGACAGAAAATACTTAATCAAAACAAAGTAAAAATATTTATAGGAAATAAATATTTATACAATGTAGTGAAATGAACACTAGTGTAATTCCTATATCACACCAAATAGTCCATAACTTGCGTTTGTGCTAAAATTTGTATGTGCACATTTAATAATATTTTTAAACTGAAATCACCAAATTTTGTTGTTATTTTTTTTTATTATTTAATTGGCAGAATGTGCTGAAAAGTAAAAAGAAGAGAAATTTGTAACGACAAGCACTAATTTGTTAATACTTTAAAATATCTATTTCAACCTGTCAAACTTTTTTTGATGAATAGCAATTCTTGCATTGCCTTGGATTTTCTTTTTATATTGTACTAATCTCACCTACTATTTATGTTGTCGTTATATTTTTAATTACTTATTTATTTAATTTTTTTTTTCTCTAAAACTTACTTGGTAATTTGTTTTTGATTGTTTTGTGTTGTTTAACTAATTCGTTTATGTCACCGTACTCTAACTGTTAATAGAATCATTTGTCTTGTAAATAATATTAAACATTCAATTTTAATAGATATAAATTATTGATCAAAAAGCCTTATGTGCCCCATATATTTGAAACTTGTAAATATTGAATGGGAACGTTTAAGTTGAGAATCAAAGTGAAAACAATGGATGGACTGTTGATTTCAAGTTTGATGTGAATACATATGGACTTGAAGACTTTTATATTATATGTTATAACGTACATGTGTTTATATACAAGACTAACAGAAAAATATTAATCCTGTATCTGTTCCTTTCTTATTCGCTAATTATACATATATCAACTGTAGTTTAGCTACAAATTATAAGTACCGTAATAGTACCATAGAAGAAACTAATAACCTGTTTTGTGTTATGTAGCAGTGCATGATTCTGTGTATGTAACAGTGTACCCACCTGACTGATAGGTCCCTTAACTTTTCCACAGTGTTTGCCTGAATAGCATGCTTTGCTAGTTTGTCTGTGTAGATATCCATCTCACTACTTTTTTCATGTCTGCATGTTCAGAACTTCACAAATCTACTTGACCTCTCACAACTCAAGGGAGTGAACTCCAACAGCAAGCCAAAGAGGCCATTGTCCTTGATACATCCATTTAGATCAGACAGGGGACATAAAGATCGTTCCAAGTCCGTCTGGTACGGTTCAGGATCTACAAATTCTATGCTTCTTGAGGTAATCATTATTCCCTCCCTTGCACCAGAGTCGGGGCTGGTTTGACGTTGTTGATTTATTGTTGGCCGTTGACATGATGCAGATGAGCATGTTGTAGTAAGAGCTAGATGTGTCTGAACTTGGATAAGAGGTTTGCCCTTTGGATTCGTTTTGCAGTTTCCACAAGTTAATTTTGACAGTGGAAGGTTTGATAGTAAACTATTTGTATTAAGTATTTCTACACATTTTTACTATATAATCCTTTACAAACTTTCTATTTTGAAAATTTCACGAAAATTTCATAGTTATTGTTATCATCATGAAATTTTCACTTTAACTTTTATCATATGTCTTTCATAAGTTCTGCAGAACTTACGAAAGACTTGAAATGAAATTAAATGAAATTTTAACTGTTATTTGTAGTATTTTAATGTGACTTTAAGAATGGTTTCTTGGTTAGACTTTTGTAGTTTTGATTAATAGGAATTTACATAAGATGAAGCTCAAAGTTCTGACAATGGTGCATGATTTGTGAATTTGTTATAGTGATAGGTACGGTAGAAATATTTTATCAATATTGTTATAAAATGCAAAGTTTGTAATGAATTAGTAAAATTTAACAGTGTAGAAATACTTTTGATCCTTGAGTATATAACTGACCTGTGTTTAATGTCTTCCCTAAGCTTACAGTATGAGGAAGCATGGGTATGAAATGGCTGTAGTCTTGGGCTGTAATCTTAACTATTCCACATATACTCTCTTGGTATGGTATTCTTTCCAATAGAAATGTATTGTTCCTTTCTTTGCCATAAACAATCATCAGATGTGTGCTTACATGTAAACAGAATAGATAATTATGTAATGCCTGAATTTAGCCAGCAGTCAACAGTTACCTTGTATGTAATAAAGAAAAAAAAATACAAGGGCGTCATATTATTTTACTGCCAAACAAACCTGTAAATTAATTAACAGGAGTCAAGTGAAAATTTACATTCAGTTGATGTCATAGAAAAGGTCACACCAAAATATATGTTGCATAAAAATTGCACTAATTCTTTATCCAGATTTAATTTTCAGAATCTCTCTTTTAACTATTGATGAAATGGGATGAATTCCATGGCAGAAATTTAGTTTATTTTTATAATAACATAGGTAGTTAAGCAAATTTGTGTTGTGTTTGAATTTGAGCATAACAATCCTTGGAAAGTCAATTATGCTCTCAGTACAGAATAAAGAATTAGGAGATGTGTACAGTTTTCTCCCTTTGTGAATATTTTATGGAAGCAAAGTGGGGGAGGAATGATATAGGGCAATATCATTAATCAATAATAGCTGTTGTATAAAGCAGCCAAATATAAGCAGATAGAACGAGATGATACATCATGATTTAAACTTTGAATACTGAATATAGAGACCTGATTTCTTATGTGAGTGAGGAGGACATGCAGTGTTGTGTAGATTGCTGTGACTACATAACTCTATTGTGTGTGACTTAGTCTAGACTTCCTGCTTAGATATTATATATCTGTCTTTCAGTTTTGACTTTATGTGACAGTAGTCCTTTATCATAGGCCACTCGTGATTAATGTGTGTTCTAGAGCTTTTACATTTATTACTGATATAATTTTCAATTGATTTTAGATACTTTAGGTCTACTTGTTATATATAGCCTGTTCATAATTCAATGTGTTTGTAGGTCTTGAAGAATTTTGTGCTATCTTGAATGAAATCTGTCAGTGTTAGTCAGATTTATATGTTTAGCTTAAGAGACCCAAAAGTGCCAAAATATAAATAAACATTTTGGTATTGCTTCTACAAGTACATACATAGTATATCATCAGTATATATTGTAATTGTACTATTTCATCATTAGTAGTTTCTTGACTTCTAAAAAAGCAATTCCTTTTTTTTCGTTTACACAGAAATCAAAGTTCGGCTCGGAGCCAGACATTACGCACCGTACTTCTTACAAACATCAAGGTAAGTCATAATAAGTACACACAGAGACTTCAAGGTCACGGTTAAAACCAATCATTATCTGCCACTTTTCTCACAAATGTCAAGATAAGAGACATCAGTGTACAGTTCACCAGATACTAGACATTGTCCATTCATTAAAGCAACCATGTCTGGTTCACAATTCAATTTTAGCGATAAACGATAGATTTACACTGAGAAGTCGTAAGTTCTGAAAGAAAATTAGTTATGTGAATAATAATACAAACTTAAAGTAATATTTGTACTTTTACTTTGCATAATCTTAGAATACATAAATAATGTAATATGTCCAAACTTTTGTCAACGGTAATCGTAGGAAAGGTTTGAGAAATACTATATATCACTGTCCAGAAAAATACCAACTTTTTATGACTCGCCGGACATAGAGTTTTGGACAAAAATTCAACTCTTAAAATACCGACTTAGCATATATGGTAAATACCAAAATATTATCACATTCAGAACCAGACGTTACCACCATCCTTCTTATAGACTTCAAGACATTACACACTTAGAACCAGACATTACCACCATCCTTCTTATAGACTTCAAGACATTACACACTTAGAACCAGACATTACTACTGTCCTTCTTATAGACTTCAAGACATTACACACTTAGAACCAGGCATTACCACTATCCTTCTTATAGACACTAAGATATAACACACTCGGAACCAGACATTACCACCATCCTTCCTATAGACTTCAAGATATTACACACTCAGAACCAGACATTACCACCATCCTTCTTATAGACTTCAAGATATTACACACTTAGAACCAGACATTACCACCATCCTTCTTATAGACTTCAAGACATTACACACTTAGAACCAGACATTACCACCATCCTTCTTATAGACACTAAGATATTACACACTTAGAACCAGACATTACCACCATCCTTCTTATAGACTTCAAGATATTACACACTTAGAACCAGGCATTACCACCATCCTTCTTATAGACCTCAAGATATTACACACTTAGAACCAGACATTACCACCATCCTTCTTATAGACCTCAAGATATTACACACTCAGAACCAGACATTACCACCATCCTTCTTATAGACCTCAAGATATTACACACTTAGAACCAGACATTACCACCATCCTTCTTATAGACCTCAAGATATTACACACTTAGAACCAGACATTACCACCATCCTTCTTATAGACCTCAAGATATTACACACTCAGAACCAGACATTACCACCATCCTTCTTATAGACCTCAAGATTTTACACACTCGGAACCAAACATTACCACACTCTTTCTTATAGATTTTAAGATATAACTCACTTAAAACTAGACATTACCACTGTCTTTCTTAAAAGAACACAAGAAATTACACGCTCAAAACCAGGCATCACACCATTGTTCTCTTAAAACTTCAAGGTTACCACTGCCTGGCATACATTAGATTCAGGTTCACTTGATATGAATGTAATAAAAAAAATGTGCTTTCTTGTTTCTGATTTTTAGCTCACCTCAACGAAGTTGGGGGAGCTTATGTAATACCCTCGGCGTCGGCGTCCCAGGTTAAGGTTTTTGGAGCAGTTTTCTTTTCAAGTACTTCTATGGCCTATATTAGTCAGAGATGCATGGAGGATGCTTCTAGTGTGTTTCATTGTACCAGTCAAGGTTTCAGATGCTGCAATTTCAGCTAAAGAATGACCAGGTTAATGTTTTTGGAGCAGGTTAAAGTTTTTGGAGCAGGTTAAAGTTTTTGGAGCAGGTCTCATTTCCAAGTAACTGTAAGCCCTATTTTGACCAAACTTGCATGGATGATACATCTAAGGATGCACACTACTGAACTTGCTTCGGATGCTGGATCTGACCTACATTTTCCGGATGAGTGACTAGGTTAAGGTTTTTGGAGTAGATCTCATTTCCAAGTAACTATAAGCCCTATATTGACCAAACTTGCATGGATGATACATCTAAGGATGCACACTACTGGACTTGCTTCGGATGCTGGATCTGACCTATATTTTCCGGATGAGTGACCAGGTTAAAGTTTTTGGAGCAGATCTCATTTCCAAGTAACTAAAAGCCCTATATTGACCAAACTTGCATGGATGATACATTTAAGGATGCACACTACTGGACTTGCTTCGGATGCTGGATCTGACCTATATTTTCCGGATGAGTGACCAGGTTAAAGTTTTTGGAGCAGATCCCATTTCCAAGTAACTAAAAGCCCTATATTGACCAAACTTGCATGGATGATACATTTAAGGATGCACACTACTGAACTTGCTTCAGATGCTGAATCTGACCTATATTTTCCGGATGAGTGACCAGGTTAAAGTTTTTGGAGCAGATGTCATTTCCAAGTAACTGTAAACCCTATATTGACCAAACTTGCATGGATGAAACATAAAAGGATGTACACTACTGGACTTGCTTCAGATGCTGGATCTGACCTACATTTTCTGGATGAGTAACCAGGTTAAAGTTTTTGGAGCAGATCTCATTTCCAAGTAACTATAAGTATTATATTGACTAAACTTGCATGGATGATACATCTCAGGATGCACACTACTGGACTTGCTTCGGATGCTAGATCTGACCTACATTTTCCGGATGAGTGACCAGGTTAAGGTTTTTGAAGCAGATATCATATCCAAGTAACTATAAACCCTATATTGACCAAACTTGCATGGATGATACATCTTAGGATTCACACTACTGGACTTGCTTCAGATGCTGGATCTGACCTATATTTTCCGGATGAGTGACCAGATTAAAGTTTTTGGAGCAGATCTCATTTCCAAGTAACTATAAGGCCTATCTGAACCAAACGTGCATGGATGATGCATCAAGGGACGAACAATCTCAAACCTTGCTTCGGATGCTGGATTTGACTTACATTTTCTGAATGAGTGTCTAGTTTTAAGTTTTCAGATAAGTCCATTCCCAAGTAACTGCAAGCCCTATCAGACCAAAATTGCATAAATGTTGCATCTAGGGATGCACACTCCTAGATTATTAGTTTAGTGTGGGACTTTGCCTTACTTAAAGACAACATTCGTTGAGGTGAGCTCTGTTATCTCTGATTACCTATGTTATTAGCTCACCTGAGCTGAAAGCTCAGGTGAGTTATTCTGATTACCTTTTGCCTGTCATCCATCTGTCTGTCCATCTGTCTGTAAACTTTTCACACCTGATCCCACCTCTGATGTTTTTGGAGATCTGTTTTTGCTCTGCTCCCGATTTGTATTGTTTTAATGGAGCTTGAATACTGTTCATTTTCTCCATATTTCATTATCAACTTCTTTTCACAAAAAAGGTGAAACTTCCTGAGGTAGTGTAGATTCTAAATTGTTCAAATCATGGTCCCTGGGGGGGGGGGGGGGGGGGGTGTTACATTTAAATGTATAGAAAAAAATGTTTAAAAATCTTCTTAAGAACAGCAAAGTATTGGTCGTATTTATATGAAAGCATCCTTAGGTAGTGTAGAATCAAGTTTTCAAATCATGACCCCATGGGGTAGGGTTGGGCCACAATGGGGCATCAAAGTTTTGCATAGGAATACATCGAAAAAATTTCCTCAAAGAACAGTGAAGCCGTGATTTGTTCATATTCATATGAAAGTGTCCTCAGGTTGTGTAGATCAAAATTTGTTCAGATCATGACTCCTGGGGGTAGAGAGGGGTCATAATCGGCCATCAAAGTTTTACATCGAAAAACCTTGGAAAAATCTTTTACTTAAGAACAGCAAAGCCTTGATTGGTCATATTTATATGGAAGCATCCTCAGGTAGAGTAGAATCAAACTGGTTCAAATCATAACCCCCAGGGGAAGGATGGGACCAAAATGAGCGATCAAATTTTTACAATAGAATAGCAGATAAACTTTAAGGAAAAAATCTTGAAAAATCTACATAAGCCATTATTAGTCATATACATATTATGGAAGCATCCTCTGGTAGTGTTGATGCAAGTTTGTTCAATTCATGACCACCTTCCTTCCCCAGACCACTTTCTTATTTAAACTTTAATATATAATGACTGATTTCTGCTTTTTCCTAGCCGAAGTTCTCTGGTGAGGGATGTGGCCCATGGGCCTCTTGTAATTGTTGTTGCTTTTTTGACATTTTCTCTAATGAACCGTTTCCATCAGAGTCAATTCTTAAAACTTAGTTTAATTATTTTGTAGAACACCATGTCTTCCCAGTAATCAGTAACATCCCAGTCCTCCCAGTTAAACACCAGCTCGCAGGTACTGCTTCTATTGTATAAAGGTAGTAATGAATGTATAGACTGAAAATGTTGACTATTGAAGACATATAATATATTTGTCCATTATATCAGGACCAGGAAAAATGTTTTTCTCAGGCATCCATTATGAAAAAAAAAGTTTCAAATTGGTCTAATATTGACTTGATACTTACATCAAGATGAGGCCACAAGGGGGTCCAAAGTTCTTCATATGTTCGTAAAGCTTAAATGTTATTTTTGTTCCCTGTAGAAGAAGCTATACCTGAGAAACCAGAGCCCCCTCCAAAAAAGAAACAGCCTAAACCAACACAGGTAAATATCTACCAGTATATGTACCTATCTACACCAAAATAGGTATTGTATCTATATACATGTATATCTGTATCTATAAATATCTGTACCTAACCAACACAGGTAAATATCTACCAGTATATGTACCTATCTACACCAAAATAGGTATTGTATCTATATACATGTATATCTGTATCTATAAATATCTGTACCTAAACCAACACAGGTAAATATCTACCAGTATATGTACCTATCTACACCAAAATAGGTATTGTATCTATATACATGTATATCTGTATCTATACATACCTGAACCCAGACCAACACAGGTAAATATCTAAATGCCATCTTCCCACCTTTATTTTCCACTTTATGTTCATTAATTCCACTTCCCCCCCCTCCCTTTTCCCCAAAGTTCTCCCTTCTCTTTGTCTCAGATCCTCTTTTCTATTGTTCTATGAAAAAGTTTGAAGGTGGAGCAAGGTCAGGTCTTTAATCCATGTATTCACTCAATATTTTTGATGAAGAAACAGGCTGTGGCCTGCATTGAGACAAGATTATAGCTACGAGGTCATGTTCTGAATTTGTGACTTTTAATCTTGCTTGTAAAGTTTTTCAGAAATTTGCAATTTCTTATTACATGTACAGGTGAACTTCGGTATCTTGAGCACTGATATCTCAAATACCATGGATATGTCGAAGTGATTTGGAAGTCCCAACCATATATTTTTTAAGTATTTCATCCCTGATATCTCGAATCCTCAGATATCTCAAAGTTTTTTCTCAGTCCCATCTTGTTCGAGATAGGGAAGTTTCACTGTATTATAAGCAATTGCTTTAAGATTTTATTGTTCAGTTTTGAGCATAAGTTTAAAATTCCATGCTTTTGAAAAAAAAAATTAATTTTTAGCAACTGCTTAAAAATGTTCTTGTACAGTTCTTGTATCAGAATTTTGGTTCTTAAATTGAAAATTCCATTTTATTCTTAATGTATTTTCAGGAATTAGTTGGATCCAGTTCTAGTGCTTCATCAAACCCTGTTCCCCCATTACCTCCTCGTAAACCCTCCCTTGTAAGACAGACTAATGGACACCCTCGTGCCTCAGTGTTTGAGAATGTGGTGTCCTCAAGAAGTGGGGATGCTCCTCCCCCTATTCCTCAAAGGACCTCTGTACGTGTGCCAAAGCCTGTTCCTCGCTCAACTGTTACTAGGCAGGATGAAAACAGCCAGCTCTAGGGATAATCTGTCTCATGGGTTTTCCCAAACACATGAGAATCCCTTCAGAGAAGATTTCCCAATGTCCTTCAGGGATAACAATTGTCCCAGATGAGGACTGTTTGAGGACTACATAAACAAGTGCTAATATCTGGAATCCATTTCAACTATAATTGGTGTGCTATTTGTTGAATTTTGTACTTTCCTTTTTGTAAGCATAATAGGAAACAATAAGGGTGCCTACTTTTAGTGATCTGTACTCAGATTCATCCAATTTGAAGTGATTCTTGGTATCTGTGGGTAGATCCACTGACAATACTTGTTATGGGTGGTCTCTCTTGGCATAAGGCTGTGATATCTAGACACAACATTTGTGTTACATATTTTCATTTTTATGCCCCGCCATGAATATGGCCGGGGCATATAGTGTTTGTCATGTCCGTCTTCCGTCCTTCCGTCCTTCCGTCCTTCTGTCCTTCCGTCTGTCCTTCCGTCACACTTTGCGTTTAGCTCTGTTCAAAGCTCAGTTTCAAAGAAACTATCCAAGATATTTTTATCAAACTTCAGATGCTGATAGATATTGATGAGAGCTATGCAACTGCATCAACATTTTTTGACCTTGACCTTTCTTTTGACCTTGACCTCACTTTTCTTAAATTAGTGTTTAGCTCAGTTTTAAAGATACCATTCAAGATAGTGTAATCAAACTTCATATGTTGATACATACTGATGTAAACTATTCAACTGCATCAACATTTTTTGACCTTGACCTTTCTTTTGACCTTGACCTCACTTTTCTTAAATTAGTGTTTAGCTCAGTTTTAAAGATACCATTCAAGATAGTGTAATCAAACTTCATATGTTGATACATACTGATGTAAGCCATTCAACTGCATCAACATTTTTTTACCTTGACCTTTCTTTTGACCTTAACCTCTGAATTAGTGTTTAGCTCAGTTTTAATGAAACCATTCAAGATATTTTTAACAAACTTCATATGCTGATACATACTGATGAGAGCTATTCAACTGCAGCAATATTTTTTACCTTGACCTTTCCTTTGACCTTGACCTCACTTTTCTTAAATAAGTGTTTAGCTCAGTTTTAAAGATACCATTCGAGATAGTGTTATCAAACTTCATATGCTGATACATACTAACGAGAGCTATTCAACTGCAGCAACATTTTTTGACCTTGACCTTTCCTTTGACCTTGACCTCACTTTTTAAATTAGTGTCAAACTTCATATGCTGATACATACTGATGAGAGCTATTCAACTGCATCAATATTTTTTACCTTGACCTTTCCTTTGACCTTGACCTCACTTTTTTAAAATAAGTGTTTAGCTCAGTTTTTAAAGATACCATTCAAGATAGTGTTATCAAACTTCATATGCTGATACATACTGATGAGAGCTATTCAACTGCATCAACATTTTTTGACCTTGACCTTTCCTTTGACCTTGACCTCACTTTTCTCAATTTGTGTTAAAATGTTGTGTTACTAATATACCCTCGGCGGGGCATTCATGTCCTATGGACATATTTCTAGTTTTATTTTTTTTTTTTTTTGTGGGACAGCTATTTGAGGATCATTTTTATTTTACATGCCCCCCATCATCAAAGGAATGATATTTAGTTGTTTCTATGTGAATGTTTTTTCAAGAATTTTATTTTTATGATGTGAATCAGGATGAACAAGTTTGTTTCGTTTGTACATTTACATTTCTTATTACTGGACAGCAATGTTTGTACATCGAAGGGTACAATTCCTTTCAGAAAGAATTCTCATTAAAGAGTTCATAAGTTCTGTAACATATTCTTTACATAGTCATCTTTTTTTTCTGTAGAGAATAACATTACTTTCATTTTACTCTTTTTAATGTCTAGAGAGTATGTCAGTATTGACATTGTTACGTGCTTAATTTATGTAAATAAACATATGTACATGAATAATGTTACAAGTTTGTCTTTTTTTCAAAAGAGGAATGAATAAAAAAAATTGTTAGATTTTATAGATAGATCATAGATATCGATTTGGTATAAAGTTGTACACATATATATACTATTCAGGAATTGATCAACAGTTGAAAGACATGATATTTGACATACCTGGTGATGGTGCATACTTATAAATAAATTTATACTAGGGTCATTCAAAAATTACATTGACAATGTCGCACATCATATTGTTTTCACAAGATTTAAGATGACATTTCAAACACAAAAACATTTTGTTGATGTGTGAAAGTTTAATTGCATTTGAATTGATAATGTAGAAAGTCGTGTTAAATCAACATCTTTTCTCACCACGGAACACTCTTCTAAACAACTTCGTTACATCAAAAACAAGGTCATGAAAGTTGCTCAAAATATTCTCCCTTGTCATTTCTTACATAGTCTGCAGTGCTTTACCCACACATTAAAAACATTGATCTCAACACTTGACAGTTTGCTAACAATGGTGTAAGTTAGTTTATCAAAATTTTCACAAGTTTTGCAACAGTGATGGAGTAAAATGCACCTTACTTTCCATGACATCACCATCTTTTTTTTTTTTTTACCAGATTTTGAACTATATTCTGTTTCCTCCCAGACCGTCCATCTGATTTAGAGTCTCTACCACTCAAAAATTGTCCTAGCCATTTCTATACAAATGCACAGCTCACCTTTTAGCTCACCTGAGCCAAATCCTCAAGTGAACTTTTCTAATCAAAATTTGTCCCTTGTCTGTCGTCAAGAAGATTTTTAAAGATTTTTCCTATATATTCCTATGTAAAACTTTGATCACCCATTGTGGGCCATATACCCCATTCCCTAGGGTCATGATTTGAGCAAACTTGAATCTACACTATGTAATAAAGCTTTCATAAAGTTCTATCTTTTCTGGCCCAGTGGTTCATGAGAAAAAGGCTTTTGAAAGATACAATTGAATTTCATCTCCTTTTGGAAGGGGGGATTGCCCTTCATTTGTATAAACTTTAATCCCCTTCACCCAAGGAATTGCATTGTGGTAAGTTTGGTTAAAATTGGTCCAGTAGTTCTGGAAAAGGAGTTGAAAGTGTGAAAAGTTTAGAAAACAATTCTCAAGAACAGTAAAGTCAAGGTTAGTCCTATTTATACAGAAGCATCCTCAGGTAGTGTGAATCATGACCCCTTAGGGTAGGGTGGGACCAAAATGGGCAATCAGTTTTACCTAAAATTATATGAAGGAAAAAATCCTCTTACAACTACAGGGGCCTGGACACGTGCAGTTGCATTTTTTACAATTTTCAAAAATAACTTCAGTTTTATGATTTGAACTTGCATGACTATTCTAAGAATTCAATGACAACGACATTCTTTGTTACATCATGTCAAACACCTGTGTCTGTAAACAGGATACAAGCTAGGTTATTGTTAGTGTTTACATTTTACCGGGTGTGTTCAATTTGTTTAGTCTGCACACATCACTGAGCACAGACTGACAATACTGGTGAGTTGATTTTGCTTTCTCACATTTCTACTCTGAACTATCTGGATTATAGTTTTCATATTTTTCATTAATACACTTTTCTTAAGTACTGTGGTATCATTGTTGCAGAGGTGGTTTATTTATAGGATGTAAATAATAAACCAAACTCCTGACTTAGGGATCCAATAATATTTAATATGGAAATAGAAAAATGAATACATGGCTCTATAAAATAAAAATAATAACAATGAATATCACAAATGTATACAATTATATTATATATCTTACTTATCCCAGGCCCATAGGGAGCAATTTCAGTTTGGGGGGCACTATCAACTACCGAAAAGTGAGCTTGTCTAAATTTTATGGCTCTGAAGCCAGGTCTAAAGGTCTCAAAGTCTTTGTCTTTGTCACCTAAATTTCTCTGAGACTCCAATTTTCAACACAGCCAACCTGACCAAAATCTCTGAGTAGTCTGAGAACAACTCGGAATGACTAAAAACTCTCAACCAATAAAATTACAGAACTTCACCTTTGAACTCAATCGCTCAACTATGATACTTGGTGAATAAAGGGGCGTGTCCGGTGGATCTGGGATTTGTAATAAATTATAAAATCTGCTTTGAAATTTATTTATATCAATATTTATTCAGTAGTGTATTGAATATATATATATATATATATATATATATATATATATATATATATATATATATATATATATATATATATATATATATATATATATACATATATATATATACAAGTAAAACACACTGCTACATTATGGATAAAGTTTACTTTGTGAAAGGGTAAGGATATATGTGTCAAACACGTCCCGAAAATCATAGTTTTAAAAAATCAAGATAAAAGAATTTTCTTAACATGCTTTTAAAAATTATTTTGGTGTGAAATACTCCAGCAACATATGTATAGGTCATGATATTTAGAAAATGTAGAAAATAGGAGCTTCAAATCTGTGTCCAAGCCCCTTTAAGAACAGCAAAGCAATGTTAAGTACTAGTGGCAGATTTAAGTTGGGATGCGCACCCCTTAAAACTGTCAAAGTTAGCGTAAATCATAGTTTCGTTGAGAAAATGTAAAAATGTCTACTCGGTAGACCTCATTTTTACCCTACAAAATCTCTAGAATCCAGGAGCTTCCAGGGGGCAAAGCCCCTGGAAGCTCCTGGCGGCCCCCAGACCTCCTGCCTACTTTTTGTGCTCCCTAACTTCAATTCCTGGATCTGCACCTGAGTACTATTTATATAGAGGCATCCTCAGATAGGGCATATTTAAGTTTTGTTCAAATCAAAGGGTAGGGTAGGTGGGTAGGTCAACAATGAGCAATGAAAGTTTTATATAGGAATATATATGGAAAATCTTGAGAACAGAAAAGCCATGGTTAGTCATATTTATATGGAAGCATTAGAAGCATGACCCCCCAGGGGTAGGGTGGGACCATAATGGGGTATTTGTTATATGTTCGATACTTTCAGTACTTCGATTGATGAACGAATTCACGGAAACTAAATTTCCCTCCGTTATGTATTCGTAAATTAGATACGTCCAATTATGGCGCCAAGAAACAAAAAGCGAAAGTAGTCTAAGTAGCCTGGTCGGTGTGAAATAAAGGGACAGGATAACTATAAGACCTATAAGCGCAAAAATCTTTAACTGAGAGGTATCAAAACACAGAATGTTGATGTTAATTTAATAGAAATATCTTCATTCGTGTAAGTTCAGTTTGTTTCACCCGTTTCTTGTAAACATTGGTAAAGTCATTTTACCGGTAACGAATCTCTTTGTTGTTACGTCTTGCATGCAACCTTCATGGTCGAAGTTCCAAAAGTTCTTGGTTGTTTAATTTGTATTTCTAAGCTTTTCAAATAAGTGGTACCAAAATTCCCAATATATGAATGGTACAGGCACATAGATGTCAACAAGGACCTATATACTAAGTATAGTTAGTCAGTTAGTTAGTATATAGGTCCCTGATGTCAGTTACAACACCACCCTATTATCCTAGTTTCGGATCGATTTTTCAGTATCGAATCGAGTGCCTTTTACTATTGCTGACCCAATAAATAATATAGGTGGATAGAAATTATTGTTAAAATATGCCTTTAAGAAAATTACATGAAGTATATAAACATTACTTGTTGATTTAAATGATTTTTTTGCTAAAACTAAACAGTATGAAACATTTTGTATTTTATGATAAACTTTTTGTGATATGCTTCATTAGAATTAAATCAATCATCTCTGAGACATAATTTTCATGGAATATCTTTGCTATTAATTTGTTTTGTATTTTCACTTCTGTCAGCTTTTCATGTTTTCACATCCCGTAAAACGACCTTTTTCGAGCTTCCAAAATTCTTGATTTGAAACTAGGAAATCAACACGTGGCTAGTTTAGATGTTATAATTTCATTTAAAAATCAATTAAATTAATTAATTGTTCATTTTAATATATTACCTTGTTACAGTTATCATAAATTTTCATAACATACTCAATCTGGATCAACAACACACTGAAAGTTGAGTAAGACGCATTTGTTTCCACACTTTCATTTTCTATGACTTGCACTTGTGCGTGTTCAAATCTGGGATATTGTTTCAAATTGTAAATACTGTGGAAAATAATCATGCAGATGTTACAAAGACACAACACAGGGGTAAAATATTCATCCTTTTATTGTATTTACCGGTACCTATAGTAAGAAATTTTTAAACCTGGCACTATGTTTTTCAAGAATGATTCAATAAAAAATTATACAATATTGGCAAATATTCGTTACCGGTAGCATGACTGTACAGACTATTATGCCGATAAAATACTGAAATACAGACAACAAAAAATTATTTAACACCTATTATGGAGGACTGTGATATTTATCTTGGCATATCTCATTCAAACTATAATATTTCCGTTTAAACATGTTAACAGATAAATTCAAGTGTCCAATGTTGACAAAAGTCACAAAGCAATATTTTATCCATCTTCGCTAGCCATTAAGAGTTTCTGATCCAAAATTTACAGTTGTAGAGTAGATTTTGGATCAGGAACCCTTGGCTAGCGAAGATGTATTTTATTTATAATTTTTCATTTTCTCTAATATTTACAGGAGTGAGCTCAGGTGTGGAGACTCTACAATGTCAGGTTGGTAATGTTAACCAATTTGATGAACAATGTTAAATTCAGATAAAATATATCTGTATACATGTTAATTATAATTGTAATGATATATATGTGTTGGTTAAACCATTTTCCAAGACCTAGTACATGTATTAATGTCCTCAGCTTTAGTTAACACATCAAAGGTCTTCATCTCATGACCAGCCTTGTTTTGCTAGCTAGCTTACCTGAGCTGATAGTTCAAGTGAGCTTTCCTGATCAAAATTTGTTGTCGTCATAAACTTTTCAAAATTTCATCTTTCTCTCCAGAACCACTGTACTAAGGCCCAAAAAAATAATATTCTTGTTTCCTGCTACCCGACCTACCCTATTTTTTTGCACCTGACCCTAAAGTTTTTTTTAAGTTTTGGAAGAAAAAAAATCGGGAATTTCCGGAATTTCATCGTTCTGTCACCGTGATCGGTTTCCGTGTTAACACAAAACAAGCATTTCATGAAATTCTTGGTTTAAATATGGACTTTCATAAAATACCACTTGAATTGTGCATAAAAAGACATGAAATTTAATTTTAAAAGACAATATTGCCTGTGACATGTTTTATTTGATCTTGTATTAGTTCATATCCAAAACATGCTGTCGAAAAAAAATAAAATAAAATATAAATATAAAATAATTTTCCTACCTACCTAACCTATTTTTTTCAGGCTGGTAGCAGGAAACAAGACTATTATTATTTCTGGCCTAAATTCATTTAAACTTACCACAAAACATCCTTGGGTGAAGGGGTTTCAAGTTTGTTGATGGGTAGGGTGGGGCCATAATGGGTGATCAAATTTTAAAAACTTTTCAAGAATAGAAAGGTCATGATTAGTCATATTAATTTGGAACATACTCAGGTAGTGTAGATTCAACTTTATTCAAATCATGACTTTGGGGGTAGGGTGGAGCTACAATATGTGATCTCATTTTACCTAGGAATACTTGTAAGCAAAATCAGCAGGGCTATAGTGACTCAGCTGAGCATTGTGGCTCATGGGCCTTGTTATTTTTATAAATAAGCTTTATAAGTTAATTTTATTAGGTATATGTAAATAAAATCCTATACTTTCTTTTGAATTAGATGATGAATGTGAGTTAGATGCCCTAGTTTCACTTTTGGATGACAACAGTGATGCAGGGGGAGTTGAGGAGCTTCAGTTGAGTAGTAATGAATTAGAGGGGGATGCCCCTGCCCCAGACAGTCCCAAAGAGGAGGAGGGGAATGGTGCCAAAACAACAGAGAACCCAGTAGAGGAGGAGTGTGATATAGACACCTTAACAGAGAACCCAGTAGAGGAGGAATGTGAAATAGACACTCTAACAGCATTTTTGGAGGAGGAGGACAGTGAGTTTGAAGAGGAGGAATTCGGTAAAAATAGTCCAGAAAAATCAGTTGTGGACTCCAAGAGTGTCCCCACTGTAGAGTGTGATGTATCCAAGGCAGGAGGAGATTCCTCAGGTCCTCAGTCTGCCAGTGAGGAGGAGGAGGAGGAGGACAACTCAGATATTCAAGGTGCACTCTATAATACTTGTTGATTAAGTAGTATGATTTGGCACACATTGTAATACATTTGCTTGGTACATATACAGGTACTTTAAATTAGGGCTGTCACGGTTCCAAAATTTTTTGGGTCGGGTCGTTTCTGTAAAATTTTGGTTCGGTTTCGGGTTTTTCAGTTCGGTTATTTACATCTATTTTAAACTTTAATTTCATGAATTTTACTTGAAAAATCTTTGTTACATTAAATATACATTGAAAACAAGTCTTAACCATGCGAACATCTAGACATCGGTGGGTAGAACTACTTGGCCTACTATTAGCCACAACCTGACCATTCCTGCTCGTTTTGATAATTATCTAATACTTCTGTGACAAGTGTTTTGTCATGGAATGAAGTAGATTTCAGTTGTGATGTTTATTTTTCACAGTTATCGTCATCATTCCTTTGATTTCCACGCCATTTTTTGTATTGAACAGACTCTAATATATAAATCAGACCCGAACAGAAATCCGGAAAAATGGAACCAAAACCGAACTGAACAACTTGGACCGCGGTTCTCAGTTATTTCGGGTACTCGTGACAGCCCTACCTTAAATCATATTGATTTTACTCTTAGTTTCAGGAAATCAGGTTTGTCAAAATGAAGTATCAGGCCATTTTGAAGGGTGATAATCAAGAAATCATGAAAATAGGATAGGGTTATTAAATTTATTTTCTCGAAAGATGTTTATCGTCCCTATGTAGTACAATAGGGTTTCAAAGTTTTACATAGGAATGTGCAGGAAAATCTTGAAAGTCTTTTTCATTGAAACAAGCCAGAATTATTCATATGCAAATATCCTTCTGCAGTATAGGTTGAAATTGGTCTCCATACTCAGGATAGAGCTGCCTTGAATAATCATAGTAATTAGAAAAAAATGCTATTTACAACAGGAAGGCTGCAGTTAGTTAGTTCAATTAACAAGTATTCCCAAAATGTAACAATTTTTATGAGGGCTACTCCTCCCTTTCCATTAACCAGTCATGGAGGAGTCTTGAAATGTTCAGAGATACAAGTGTGAATAAATTCTCTTAACAAAAGCAAAAATATACATGTAATTTGCTAGAATTGATAGACAAGTGTCAGTATATATTTACCAAAATAAGAGCTTTTGACATGGTTGTGAGCTCATTTGTCTCGATGAAAGTTGTAAAGTGACCTTCACTCTTTGCATGCAAACTGAAGGTCATTCTGTAAGACTGTAAATCCTGTGTAAACAATACAAATAATGAAGATTGTCTTAATTTTCACAGCTGAACTTCTTAACATTCAAAAGAAAATGTTAGAACTACAATCTCAGTTGAAAATGAAAAAGAAAAAGAAGAAAACTCCAAAATCCCCTTCATCCATAGTTCCTAAGACAACAGAGAATGGAGAAACAGATCCTCCCAGTATCACTCACATGAAGAAACAGTCCTCCAGTGATAAACAGGGACAAAAATCATCCCCTCAAATGTCTAAACAGAAAAATGTCACTCAGAAACAAAAAACATCAGATCAACACTGTACAAAGAAAAGTCCAAAGTCCAAGGAAGGAAACAGTCATCAAAAATTAAAAGAGACATTGAAAAATAGGGAACGGAAGAATGATAAAAATGCTGGAAAAGTAGTGTCTCCAAAAAATGACTTGGGTGTTAAAGTTCCAAATAAAAAGAAAGGTAGGCAATTCCAAAGTTTATTATTTTTTTTTATGATGTGAGGAGTTTCAATTAATTTCACAATTTTGTGATGGGTGTAAACAATTTGCAATTACATCAGAGCTGACTACAGATCAGGACTTGGGAAGAAATCCATTTTTTGCTGAAGACAAAAATCCAGACCCCGGGGATCCAAATGGAGGGACAGCGGGGCTGTTTGGAGACAGTGACAGTGACTGGGATGAACTTGATGGAGGTCAGGAATGAAAGTCAGATTTATAAATTCATTATGTTTAAGGTTCTTTCTATTAATTATATAAGAAACTGTTTAGAGAGCACTGTATACATTTTTGCTCTGTGTTATTTTCACCTTTTCACTCCTGAAAACAATTTTGCCCCATTTTAAATTCGCCAAAACACAGTTGTAATTTTCTTTCCATTTGCCCTACCGTATTTTAAATTCACCCACTAGCAACAAGGGGAAAAGGGGGGAAATGGGGATGAAAATTTCTCTGTATACAGCAATTTACAGAAATTTGGGGAAGAATTCACGATGATAATTATTTTAAATCAAAAGCAGTATAGAAGATCAATGTACATGTTCTATGATTGCTGAAGAAATAAAATTTGAAAAATCAGAAAATGTACTTTAGAGGTGAAGTCAGGATTAAGTGAGTCAGGCCAAGTCATCCGAGACCTGATGAAGAGGGAGAATGGTCAGAGAGTGTCCCACGCCTCACAGGGCGATGTTCAAGAGCTCAGACAGAGAGCACTCAAGTCAAACTCATGTAAGGACTGTTACCAAGTGATATCCAATTCATGTCTTAAATCTCAGCTTCATTATCGTGACATTGTGTGTTTGTCTCTGATTTATTCTTTCTATACATGTACACAGAGATGATTTCCGTACATGCTACAAATACATGTACAAATTGTAGATTAAATAAATTAACTTCTTCATCATTTGTAGGGAAAAACCGTCCTTTTGCTGGACAGGAAATGGTTGATCCACCCCGCAAGAAAGCTAGTGATGATTACATGAGTATAACAGATTCATTCTCAGGAATCAGAATCATGTATGGGTTCTTTTATATTACCTGTGTATATATTTTTTAACCTTTTGCATAAATGTTGAAATCTGAATTATAAACTATGGCTAGTAGATTTTCAAATTCCAAACATAAATGGGGAAAATTTCTGTTTGTGCTTACAAGAGCTGCTCCAGTATAAACATTGGAGGTGAGTCAGAGGGACTTTATTTCAGAAGCCCAACCTGTAGAATAATATCAGACAGAACCCCAGTAGAATAATTTTCATCAGCCCCCCTCCCTCCCTTCCTCCAATCACTTACACCAATAGGAATGTAAGAATATTGTTATTGTCTTGTTCATGAAATAAATTTTTTAATCTCTATGGATTTAAGAAAATTAAGTAGAAAATTAAATATTTTTTTTACATTGTGTGACCAATCATTTTCTGCAATTATAAAGTCTTTATCTTAGAGTAATATCAAATTGGTATCACATTTTTCTCCGCCCCAGAAATTAAATGGCAAGAAAGATCCTTGGTGTTTCCACATGAGATGCAAGGTCATTTAAACAAATGTTTCAACTGGGGAGGGGTGGGGGGTATGGACTTGACTATCTTCTTACACCAAAACGAGTAAATTTGTTAAAGCCTTATGTTAGTCAAACAGTCAATATCAATTATCTTGTCTTGAGTCTAAGCAGACTTCATACTCTGTTGCTCCAGACTTGACAAGCCCTTGTCCCAAATCAACTGCACCAAAACATTATCTACCCCAAACCTAGAGAATAGAAATAATCAGAACACCACCACCAAATGGAGTAGAATTAATTTACATTGTACCATCCACTGGAATAGGCTGAAATAGTTTTCACAGTTTGTAGACTTTTCATGGCATTATATGTTCTTTTGCAGCAATCCAAAGATTTCAAGCATGGAGATGAAGTATAAAATGGCAGACAGAACTTTGATTAAACTGTCCAAGATTCATTTAAAACTTAAGAGTGCTGATCTTCAGGGTAACTGGGTGACAATAGGGGTCATTGTTCATAAAACAGAGCCTCGTACTTCTGCTACGGTAAGTTAAGTGTGGTTCCATAGAATTCTTAGATTTCAATGTGCTACCTACATGTTTATAATTATAAATAAATAGGCTAATAGTTAACTATTTTAACGTTACAGTACTTAAATTATAGATTAATAGTAAGGGAAGATCTCCTTTGGAAAATAAGGTAGAAATGTTCACAACAGCAGGAAAATGGTTTTGTTATTGATGATTTAGAATCTTTTTCTGTGTGGAAATATATTTACATGTACTTTCAGACTTAATTATGTGACAGAAAAGGAAAAATTGAATGAATTTATGACATGTACCGGTACATCACTGTTCTCACAAAATATACATGTATGTAGTTGCACCAGGGTATAAATAATCTTAGAATTTAATTTTAGGGTAAGTCATTTTGTATCTGGCGGATGAGTGACCTTGAAGATTGTGACAGGACCATTAGCTTCTTCCTGTTTGGGGAGGTATTCAAACAACACTGGAAGAATGAAGTCAAGTCAGTGGTGGGCATCCTTAATCCTCACAAGATGGACAAAGCTGATAAGGTAGTTATGTATAATGTCTGCTAGCTGTAGTGATGAAATAAAGCTTATATCTTTTGAAAGAATTGTTGTAAGTGGAATGAAAAAAGTATCCATTGTATTGTTATTTTCCTTAAAACATGGGAATCGAGTGCGCAAGTGAGACAAGGCAATGTGTGGGTGTTCCTATGCAAATGAGATTATTTTTAAATGAGAAATAGGCATATCAACAATCTAGTACCCTTATAATTCGGTTGTACTAAATATTGACTATTGTAAAGTACATGTAGACAGATGCATGTTGTATAACTTCTTCTTATAACTTCATGATTATTTACTAGTTACTTCTGAGTAAAGTGAATGTCAACAAAAGTGCTGCAGTGAAAGGGCATTCTCTGTTTGACCTTAATACTTGACATTTGTAATCGGTTGATAATTACTTGTAAAATTGCTAAGTTCATCACTATTTATATACATAATTTGCACATCTAAACAAAACAAAACATTTCAACAATTCTGAATTACCTTGCATCAAATTTTAAAAATGAATGCTTCAGTGAGCCAGTCAGCCAATGTTTTGTTACTTTCACCATACATTGTGTTTTTGATATCACTAGTCCATATGACATCATCTAATACAATTTAGTATAGTACAGTATATATTATCATTTTACTAACAACGTGACAGTTTGCTTGATGGGGCCTGCTAAAATTTTGCATGCTGATTATCATTTTACTCATTGATTGGATGTTTGATTTCAATGAAATCAATACATGTACTTATTTGCATATGAAACTCAGAATACAACAATACTCTGATAATACTGGCCAATCACATTGAATGATTGTTTACCATTACTGCATTTGTAGTCAGCAGCAACGTGTGGTAAGTCAAAGCCTGTTTTCTGTCCTCAAAAAAGCATGTGTCATATTTTTTGTGATTTGACCGGATGGAGTTTTAAATATGCATAAGAAAATTTAAAGGATGGAATAAGTAAGGCTTCTCTGCTACTTTTGTACTATATAGCTATCAGTATCATCATTATAGGAAGTAAAATTTGCTTTGTCTGTCCACATTGTTGTATACTGCATACTAGTGAACAATCATTCAATTCGATTGATAAGTATTGTCAGTGGTATTGCTGGATTCTGGGTTTCATATATGCAATGTATTATTGATTCCATTGAAATCAAACATCCAATCGATAAGTAAAAATGATAATCAGCATATAAAATTTTAGCATGCCCCATCAAGCAAACTGTCACGCTGTTGGTAACGATAATAGTTGTTGTGCTCTTAGATGCCTTAGATACACTTAGGTAAAGAATATTGTAAACTTTTGATTTATAACATGCTTAATGACCACAATTAAACTAGGCCTTACCTGCATAAACAATGGTGCATGAAATCTATAAACAGTGACCTCCCTTGATTTTCTCCACAGAGCCAGCAGGACATGGCTTTTACAGTGAACCATCCCAACCAGATACTGATAATGGGCTACTCCCAGGATGTAGGCAAGTGTGCCGGAGCCAGTAAAGCGGGCAAACCTTGTACTAACTTCATCAATAGGTAAATGTTTGGTTGATATTAATAATGGGCTACTCCCAGGATCTGGGCAAGTGTGCTTGGAGCAAGCAAACCTGGCAAACCTTGTACTAATTTCATCAATAGGTAAATGTTTGGTTGATACTGATAATGGGCTACTCCCAGTATCTGGGCTGGGGCAAGTGGGCAAACCTTGTACTAATTTTATCAATAGGTTATTACTGTATGTGATTAAGAGTGTGGATGATTGTTACCGTATAACAGGCATTTTCTGCAGTTGGAAATTTTTGCAATTTGTCCCCCGAAAGGTAGCAAATTATTTTCTGTGTTTTCAATTTCTGCAGTTGCATTCTACCACAGAAAATATTTATAGGATATATTGTAAAATCACTTATTTTTGTGGGTTCAAATTTTTCGTGGTTTAAGGAAAAAATATTGGCTCGAGGGGATTTGATTTCGTGGGTGGAGGATAGACTTTATACTGTTGTATAGAATTGTATAGAATTTTGATATTTTGTTGGGAACATGAATTCATGGGTCTCCTCATACCATGAAATCAACAAAATTAAAAACTCCCACGAAAATTAGTGATTTGACAGTCAACACCAGATTTTTAGGATTTGGCAGAATGACACTGCCATATTTACCTCCTTTAAATTCATCTATTAAATACATGTTGATCAAAGGTGCATGAGAACTAATTCAATGCCCTACTATCTTTTAGTTTATCTTCGTAAATTATTTTCAAATCCTTTTTTTTTTTTTTTCATACATCATGCATAGTTCTTTTTTTAGAATACAGAGTAAGAAGTTTTGAAATGACATTAAATCAGGTTGACTGACATATGCACCACCTATGCATCAGACTTGCATGTAAGAAATATCTGAATTCATATTGAACAAATATTTTGTGATTGTAATTTTTTCAGATTTGTTCTATCCACAAAATTCCACAAAAAATTGGAACTGCAGAAAATGCAAGTTATATGGTATTTAGAGTTAAGCATGAGATATTCGAGTAATTTTCCTTTCCTTAACTTGCAGTAAAAAAAAAAGCATGGTTATAAAGATAGAAATCTTAGACAACATGAAATGCTAAATGATTGTTTTACTTTAGACAACAAGGAGAGTTCTGTGTGTACCATGTACAGTCAGCGTACAAGAAAGTCAGTGCTAAAAGGACAGAGCTGCAGGGAAGGTGAGTCTCTCTCTCTTCTCCTAGGAGATAAGGATTATACATTTGTATGCTTTTTGAAACACATATGTCAGATACCAAGGTCCACTGTGATAGCAACACTTTCATTATATTTGTATGTAGGTTAATTTTGCATGACCATTTTTATACTTGAGTGTTTTAGAGAATGTGTTTATATCAATTGTTTAAGATCAGTGGGAATGTAGCTTTATCATCTCTCTGCTTTCATTATACATTATGCCCCCATCACTATATATATTTGTTATATACCTTTAAAAATTGTTTCCTATATAAATCTATACTAGATAGTCTGACATTTCCAATGTTTTACTGAGCGGTCCATTGAAAATCGATGTTTGACCGCAGAGTGAGATATTGGACCTGTCGATGAGATATTGGACCACTTATGTCACATTGTGGGCGGTACCGAGTTTGACTGCGGTGCAGGTAAAGGAAATTTACATCATGGAAACTGTTACAAGATACATGCATGTAAATAGAATAAAAGGTATAACAAAACATTTATTGACTGTGTTCTCGAGCAAAATGCATTTTGTCAACCCTCGAACCAAATATTTGCCTTCAACCTAACGACCTCGGGCTAACAATTTGGTTCTTGGGTCTGACAAAACGCATGTTGCCCTCGAACCCAGTCAATAAATGTATAACATTATATATAATGATGGGGGTGTTCATCCATCTGTATGTCCATATGTCTGTCCATTAAGCTTTGGGGTACCCATCTCTAATCCACAACTCCTCTTATGCCACTGAATAAAATTCAGAACACATTCTTTCAAAGAACTTTTGTTACATAGTGCCATTGTGCACCACCTCTTTTACTTTTTGATGGGACATATCATATGCTTTGGGCTTCCCATAGTAAAACATGGACACTGCCTTTCTTTCTATAACATTGGAGTTACCCATCTCTTATCTGCAACTCCTCCTATACCACTGAATAAAATTTAATGATACTTCCACAGAATCTTTATTATATAGTGCCATTGTGCACCTCCCATTTTATCTTTTGATTAGTCACATACACATATATTTCAAAATTCCCATAGCAAAACATGGACACTGCCATTCTTTCTGTAATACCCACTGTAATAGTACTCTTTATCATTAGATTTTCTGTGTTCCACTTAATTTCAGGCACAAAAATCTGTACTTGTTTGTTATTTATCAATGTTACCATGGAAAGATTAGAGTTATTGCTCTTGTATAACTTTTTCTTGCAAAGAAAGTGATTAGAAAATAGACTATTACTAATTTTTCCAGAAAGTGTTTGAAAAATTAAAAGGGGAAAATTTAAGCTAATATGTTTGATTTCTGTTTTTTTAATACATATATATATATATTCTCTGTGATTTTTCTGTTTTTTTTTTTTTTAGTTCACAAGTTACTCCAAAAAATCGAATGTTTGGACCAAGGAATACAAAGGAGTCACTTTTCTTTTATGGAGGCGAAACATTTACCAACACAAAGTACAGTTTGAAGTTAATTAGAAACAATCAGATGTTAGAATTTAAAAATGCAATATTTTCTATGTATAAAGAGTTCAATTGTTTGAGTAAATTAAATCCTGTAAAAGAAACAATGAATTGTTTTTAATGTAGAAGAAAGTCCACCCTGAAAGATCAAGTATCCCTGAAGAATCTCCAAGCCAGTCAGCTACAACACAAGGGTAAATTTACCACACTGTCACTACATAACCTTGACCCGGAGGATATAGACAAACTTAAACAGCTGAACCAGAAAAAGAATGACTTGTAAGTTTTTCCTTTAATCAGTCTAGGTTATCTATCTGGTTGCTGAACATGAGAACCTATCTAACAGAATGCTAATTAGGCAGTTTTGTTTTAATTTTTTAGCTCACCTCGACAAAGTCGAGAGATGAGCTTATGCTATACTCCCAGTTTTGGCATTTTGGTTTTAGGAGGGAATCATTCCCAAGAACATGTAATTATAAGCTAAACTTGGATGGATGATGCATCTAAGAATGCACACTACTGATTTGCTTCAAATGATGGATCTGACCTACATTTTCTATCAATTGTGAAACTTTTGTATAAGTGGAAATTTATGTAGATATTTTTAAGAATAAAAAATAAAGTCCACCCATCTGCCTCAATTTTTAAGCAGATTAGGATGTGAGTCTAAAATTTATATTTTTCTGGCCCCATGTAGATGCAAAACATAATTAAAATAAGTAGCTGTGCAATTTTTGAACAATTTGTTATATTGCTACAATTTTATGTTTTATGTCATTGGTTTTTCAGTGTAGAATTATTGTCCACACCCACAGTTGGTTCACTAAACATTGTGAAGCACCTGGTGAAAAAAGAAAACCGGACAGAACCAGGTGAGTTAATAAACATTAAATGTGCTATAATGCATGTACATGTAGAATTTCTTTTACACAATCAATCAGGAGTATCGGTCTCCAGGTTTGAAGTTGACCTAAAATTAGGTCTAAAATAATTATCGGATGTTTAAAAGATGAATATTGTTTGCTAGGCCACATTCTTTAATTGCAGAATTCTCTGAGGATAAGAAGGTAGAGATACAGTCTATATCTCCAGCAGAGCTTCTAAAACAACACAAACTGGACATGATCAGGAAAAAGAGGGCCAAACAAACAGGTGTCTCCTCCCTAGGAAGTCAGGCCAGCCCTACCGCCACAGCACCTCAGTTAGGAAGAGGGGGGCTATCTGATGGATTTATTTCCCTTGACATGACCAGTAAAAGCAAACCTATCTCCAGCAAGGAGCTAGCTAAGGTAATCAGATTGTCAGAAGAGAAAATGTTTTAATGAGGAAATCTAGGCCAATATGTTTCATAACAATGTTCTACAGTCTTTTTATCTTAGCCTCTGACAAATCAACTTTGAAAAATCACATTTTTAAAAATATATACCAACATACATGACATGGTATGTTTAAAAGAAATTTAATTTGTCAAAATTATTTGCCAGATCATTTGATGCTACTTCTAAAACTATAAACCATATTTCACTCTCTGGGTTGTTTTTGTTGCACAAATATGTGAGTATGAGACACTGTATATGATCAGATCTCTGTTGGTCTACAATATAAACTGATAAATATCATCAGGTATTGGAAAAGTGATACACTATGGTCATGGTTAAGGTGGTTTCGAATGAAAAATGATGGATAAAATCATCACTTTAATGCTTCTCGGTGACCATTCAGGCCATTTGATAAACCATCTGAATTCATGAGTCATTTTAGATCAATGAACTTTTTTTATGTTAATGCTTGTTTCATTCATATTTCCTATCTCATCAATACCATTCCATAACTAAAACCTGATACATGTCATGTATTAGTAACAAGTATAAATCAGGCCCAAAAAAATATTAGTGTCAATTTTCTTAACAATGTCCACCTCTTGTAGACCCTATCCACCCCAAACTTTGAATATATCTCTATTGACTTTAGACTCAACTGTTTCATTTACTTAATATTAAAGAGAGAGAGAAAAAGTATGCAACAACAAAAATCATGCAAAGAAAATATTTTAATTTAGAGATAATGAAATGTTATTGTACCTTGATAAAGTTAGTGCAGTTATTGTTTTTGAAAATACACAGTACGGAAATAGAATCAAAATTTTTTTTTTCAAAATGTTGTATATTATAATATGGAAATGTTATTTTCAAGGAAGGTCAATCACAGCAGTTTTAAACATGAAAAAAATTGGATGGTTTCTTCAGAAGTGGCTCACAGAAAAAAAAAAGAGAAACCTATATTTTTTTTTCATTATTATTTATATATAAACACATTGAATCTGGTAGCCAAAATTTAGCAGAAATGTAGGAAAGTGCTTTAAAACTGTTAAATCCCATTTGTTATATACTGGAGTCATTGACCTCTCTAGTGTTCCTAATCACTGAAAAATAAAATATGATTGTAACGGTAAGCTTGAAATAAAAACTGCAATTTTTCTAATGCGCAATTTGGTGATTCATCTATTGTGTGAAATCAGAAATGATTCAGGTATACAAGGAGGATTTCCATATTTCTGTCATTTCTGTAATTATAATGACATTGTCTATGATTTAGATAAATCTCGGATATATTCCTAATTGTGTATTTTAAGTCTTGGACCTTGTATCTCACTGTTAACTAACAGGATAACTTCCATGTTAGATGTAGTGTCATACCCTCCAACAATGTGTCAATGAATCATGATGAATTCTCTGTGTAAAAATCATCAGTATGGTGGTGCTAAAATAGCACAGGATGCAGATTTGCATGAATTATCCATTTCAGTTAAAAATTTTCTGATTTAGGTCTTTATGTCATATTTCCACTGTCCATTGTAAATTTAAGCTTATTAATCCCTCCCTGAGCCTGTGTGTATAGTGGGTGATTATCATTGGCAGCTCTGATTTACAGCCAGTAATGTTCACCTTGGAAATATCTCCCATCTTTCATTCAAACAAAGAGGATTAAAGAGCCTCTTTTTTGTGGTGATGGAGGAAGTTATATTTCCACTAATGATTAGGTCATTCTGTGGAATTTTTATGAATGGAATTGTCAGTGAAGTAATGGTATTGATTGGTTTTATCTGATTTCTGTCTATGGCTACGATTAACCTTATCAAGTCTTTCTGGCCATTCCCCCATCCGGCTGATCTCTGGACCATGATTGGCAGAGTGCATTGAAGGAAAAGGGGAGATAACTGCTATCAGAAGATTAACAATTTAATTTGTTATGCACTAAGATTAATGTGCCTTTTGATTGACAGAAATTAATACTTCATAGAATCTTCTTAGCTTTGATCAAAAGACTGTTGTGAAGGAGACATGATAAATTAGGGGGTGAAGTTGCCTGGACTTGAAGCTTAAGAACATTTGCATAAGGTCAACTAAGTTATAATTTGAAATTATTAGCCCACCACTGTGTGTGTTGTTTGTCGTTAAACATTTTAAAATTTTCACTTTCTCTGAAACATTTTAAATTCCAAGACAGTATTACTTTTAAGTGACAGATAACATTTCAGACCTTGATAAATAAAGTCCCTGTGTCACAATAATGTATAGATTTTTACTTTGTAAGAAAACTAAAATAAAACAAAACATGTATAACATGAAAGTATTGTTATCTTTATGAACTGAAGCGTCAAGACTTTAATCAGATTTTATTTTGAAAAGATCTAGGTAATCTGAATGAAAATATAGAATTCTGCTAGAACTTCATAACAGTAAACATTAATTAGATCATTCTTTAAAAAAAAAGATTTTAAACCTAAAGATTTATTGAGAGTCTCAAGTAAAAATAAAAGTCTACCACATATGTCAGTGTGATTTCAACTTTCAATTTAAATTTCCCCTAAAACTCTGGTTACCATTTTATTATATACAGATGGTGGCTGTGTCCAAGATTAAAAAGAGTGGAGGGATTCAGAAGGATGACCCCAATTCATTGAAGAGGAAGAGAGAATCTCCAAAGGTCAAGGAGATGATTCAGGAGAGGGTTCTATCTAACTTAGGTAGGTAGGGTCAATCCTATCCATTCTACTCACTCTAACAATAGGTCTGATTTCCTTATCAATTCATCTAGTGACTTGAAATAATGATGTTAGTTTTTGTTGCAATATGAAAGAGTCAGTGTGATTCTAAGGGACTCATGTTTTTGTAGGGAGTAATGGAAATGAGGACAAGATACCAGAGGAACCCCCAAAGAAGCGTTCCAAGCTTCTGGGGAACATTGATGAAAATTCTGAAGATTTTAAAAAACTCATGAAGTCTAAATCAAAGCATACTGGGGCCCTTGCTGAGGTGAGTGCCATTTGGAAAGAGATCCCACATTTCATTCACAACTTCTTTTGAGTATTTTAATTCCACTTTTGTGATGACTTCAGGTTGAACAAGAGCAGGAGGAGCGATACTTTATGGAACTGGAGAAAAAAGAGAAGTATGAGGACAAGATGCAGTCAACCATGTCTGTCAAGTGTACCGTGTTCACCTGTAAAAATGTAAGTCAGGTCAACCATGTCTGTCAAGTGTACTGTGTTCACCTGTAAAAACATAAGTCAGGTCAACCATGTCTTTCAAGTGTACCGTGTTCACCTGTAAAAACGTAAGTCAGGTCAAGCATGTCTGTCAAGTGTTCCTTGTTCACCTGTAAAAACATTAGTCAGTTTAAACATGGTTGTCAAGTGTACCTTGTTCTCCTGTGAAAATGTAAGTCAGGTCAACCATGTCTGTCAAGTGTACCGTGTTCAACTGTAAAAATGTAAATCAGGTCAAGCATGTCTGTCAAGTCTACTGTGTTCACCTGTAAAAATGTAAGTCAGGTCAAGCATGTCTGTCAAGTGTACTGTGTTCACCTGTAAAAACGTAAGTCAGGTCAACCATGTCTGTCAAGTGTACCGTGTTCACCTGTAAAAATGTAAGTCAGGTCAACCATGTCTCTCATTTTTACCGTGTCCACCTGTAAAAATGTAAGTCAGGTCAACCATCTCTGTCAAGTGTACCGTGTTCACCTGTGAAAATGTAAGTCAGGTAAACCATCTCTGTCAAGTTTACCTTGTTCACCTGTAAAAACGTAAGTCAGGTCAAGGATATCTGTCAAGTGTACTGTGTTCACCTGTAAAAATGTAAGTCAGGTCAACCATGTCTGTCAAGTGTACTGTGTTCACCTGTAAAAATGTAAGTCAGGTCAACCATGTCTGTCAAGCTAGTGTACTGTGTTTACCTGTAAAAACGTATGTCAGGTCAACCATGTCTGTCAAGTGTACCGTGTTCACCTGTAAAAACGTAAGGTCAAGCATGTCTGTCAAGTGTACTTTGTTCACCTGTAAAAACGTAAGTCAGGTCAAGCATGTCTGTCAAGTGTACCGTGTTCACCTGTAAAAACGTAAGTCAGGTCAAGCATGTCTGTCAAGTGTACCGTGTTCACCTGTGAAAATGTAAGTCAGGTCAACCATTCTCTGTCAAGTTTACCTTGTTCACCTGTAAAAACGTAAGTCAGGTCAAGGATATCTGTCAAGTGTACTGTGTTCACCTGTAAAAATGTAAGTCAGGTCAACCATGTCTATCAAGTGTACTGTGTTTACCTGTAAAAATGTAAGTCAGGTCAACCATGTCTGTCAAGTGTACCGTGTTCACCTGTAAAAACGTAAGTCAGGTCAACCATGTCTGTCAAGTGTACCGTGTTCACCTGTAAAAATGTAAGTCAGGTCAAGCATGTCTGTCAAGTGTACTTTGTTCACCTGTAAAAACGTAAGTCAGGTCAAGCATGTCTGTCAAGTGTACCGTGTTCACCTGTAAAAACGTAAGTCAGGTCAAGCATGTCTGTCAAGTGTACTTTGTTCACCTGTAAAAACGTAAGTCAGGTCAACCATGTCTGTCAAGTGTATTGTGTTCACCTGTAAAAATGTAGGTCAGGTGTTACTGCACCATATTGTAAATGAATGCACTGCTGTTTCCAAGAGAGTTTTATTTGCTCACACCCTAGTAAGAAAATTGCTTTATGTAGCAAACTCCATATATTAAAGTACTTCATTCCATTTTCTTCATTCCAGACATTCAGTAATGTGCTTTAGGTACTTTTTTATCTGTGTTGACAGTGTGGCTACACAGCTTTTAAGTTAGCAGACAGATGTAAGACTGAGAGACATATCATTACTAAGTCAGAAACATCCAAAAGATTCTTCAAATGTAAACATTGTGGAAAGAGGAAGATTTCTATACAAAAGTACCCAACAGAGCCATGGTAAGCATTTAAATCTAGTTTTTTTTTTTTAGCTTATCACAGCTAAAATGAACTTTTTTGTCTCCTGCTTTCAATGAAAATGGGGGATATTAATTTGGATTTGTCGTCCGTCCATCTGTCTGTCTGTCATTGTGTCTGTGTGTAACACTTTCATTTCCAGACTTTATCACAAAAATCATTTTAGCTTTTGCATCGAAATTATCATATATCACTATGGACCAAAGAAGATCCGTATTGATATTGAGGTCAAAAGGTCAAGGTCAGAAATTAATATATATTCTGTCTGTGTAACATTTTTGTTTCTGGATAATATACTAAAAAGTAGGGATGTCAAAATATTTATTTTCTTTAGTCGAATATTCGATTGCATTATTCGAACGATAGTCGAATATATTCGAAACTTTTTCGGAAACTAAAATTTTATTTGAAACTTCACTGGTACATCACATATTTAATCCCAAATCCCCCTTTTTTAAATTGATTAAAAAGTTACAGCAAAAGTTACACACAGATGTTCACATGGACTTAAAATGTGGATAGCGTGTTTATATTTATTTAATAAAGACTTCTAATTTCTCCAAAATGTAGGATTTCACCGTCAATCATGTTCATAAATTGGTCTGTAAAGTCGGTTTTTTAGGAAGCATAAAAAATGACTGTGTGATATATTTTTTTAAAGCTTACTAAAATGATGGGGGCACATACGGTGCCCTTGATAATGTTAAATATTTGAATATACTTTTTGTACCAATTATCAAAATGTCTTTAAAATATGTGAAAGGATATTGATTTTATAATAATTATCGTATAATGGGTACATGGTACGAGATCAAGTCCAATTAATAGTTTTACAAAGAAAGCGCAGTATGGCGAGATAATTTTATTATAAAAACAACACATTAATTGACAATAATTCACGCGGAAGTGAAGCGTTTCTAATCACTGTTCTTTCTACATGAAAAGTCAGCAGTTTTTAATGAAGAAAATTATCTTATCGACTGTGTCTGAGGGAAGACGGTTTCTCAATTTTAGGATGAGAATTCCAACTCTTTATCACTCTTTTATTGAATTTATTTATTCGAATGTCGTTTCGTTATTCGATCGTCGGTCCATTCGACTGATGGTCGAATAGTCGACTATTTGTTGACATCCCTACTAAAAAGCTTTGAAGCTTTTTCAATGAAACTGTATATCACAACTCCCTATGGCCTACAGAAGTTTTTCAATTTTGAAATCGAAAGGTCAAAGTCAAATATTCATAAATTGCAAAAAGTTTCCAGTAATAACATAAATTTTCTTTGAGTGTTTTCAATGAAATTTTATATCATGACTTCCAGTGACTTATAAAAGACTCCTATTGATTTTCAGTCAAAAAGTCCAGATTGGAAATTCATTCTGACTGTGTATAACACTTTTGTTTCCAAAGGATATCTCAAAAAGCTTATGGCCTTTTACAATGAAACTTTATGTCATAACTCCCTATGGCTAAGAAGACCCTTTTGAATTTGAGGTCAAAATGTCAAAGGTCAAGGCCAGAAATTCATACATTGCAAAAATGGTTTCCAGATGAAAACTTAAGTTTTCCTTGAGCTTTATCAGTTAAATCTTATACCATGATTCTCAATGACTTAAAAAGGGCCCTTTTGATTTAGGTCAAAAAGTGATGGTAAAAAAAAAAATCATATCTTGCATAAAATGGTTTTATTTCCTAGTTCTCTTTGAGAATTTGCAATGAAATTTTATATCTTTAGCAGGGTTGTGAACTTGTCTCTAAGAAATAGAAGGGGACGTTAACAAAGAAGAAGGGGGTTTGGGGTCCGTCCCCTATTTGGGAGTTTAGGGGGGATACCAAAATAAATGTGGGATTACATTATTATAGGTGGGGAAGCCCCAGGGTCTAAGGGACAACCCAGCTTTAGTCCATATTATTTAAAAAAGAGCCCTAGTGATTTGAGGTCAAAAGGTCAAAGGCCAGAAATTCAAATACTGCATAATAGTTTTCATATGACAACTAAGTTCTCTGTAAGCTTTTGCAATAAAATGTAAGGTCTTGTGATTCTTTAACTTAAAAAAAAACTATTGACTTTAAGGCCAAAAATGAAAAGGTCAAGGCCAACTTTTTTTGCACTTCCTTTCATGTCTTCCACCATTTAATTTATTTGAAAGGAAATTTGCATTTTGGGGAATTTAATATACTTCTGCAATTAAAGTTTGGGGGGATGGGTATATAAGCATCACTGTGTCTGCCCATCTGTCCTTCTTGTGTCTGTACAATCGTGGTTTGGTCATAACTTTGTGATGAAAAAGATTGAAGTTCACACTTGATATTAAGATTGTTAATGATCTGAGAGTGTGTTTTACTGTATATAATTTGGCTGGCACCATACTTTTTAATGAAGAGACATTGGAATTCATACTTCACTCGAAGATTACCTATAACCATAGGTTGTCTCATGACCTTAAGGTCATTATACAAAATCAAGGTTTCTTTCAGAAAAATGTACAATCCCTGTCCTCACCGTATCTGAAAAACTGTTAATGTACTTATTTTAGTGGTTAATATGAGTCAGAAAGAGATCACATTACATTGTGCCAGAGGATAATAAATATCTATAAGCCTGCTGTAGCAAGATTCAGAATCTAATGATCTGTCAAATTGAACAATTAATCAATTTGTTGGCCATTTCATTGAAGCAGCACTTTATCACTTTACTTTACATGGTTGTATCAATGTTTTAAGAATTGAAATTAAAGAATAAATTTAGAGGATTAAGTTTGGTTTAGGAAAAATAAATTGGTGTAGATATACTTGATTTCAGAACTTTTTAAATGGTTGTAGGATAAAACTCTGTGGATGATTTTAATGAACACTGTAATGTGCTTCAAGTTATGGCACATCGTAATTTTATCTTACTTAGTGCATCATTTAATTTAGAGTTCACATGAACTTTAATCACTCCTTTATATTACAGTGATTGTGGGGAGTATAACTTCCTGAGAACAGCCATGATGGAGGTAGGGATTCTCTTTATGACAGATTTATGTCAGATTTTTTTCTCTAGGCAAAACAAATCTTATTAAATTTACGAGTTTTTATAATGGAGACTGTAGTTAAGAACTTATTTGTAGGAGAGGAAAGGCCCTAAGCTGCCGAGTGAAAATTTGAGTTTGCGGGGAGACGAGGTGGCATATTTAGGGTCAATGAACCAAAAAGTGTATCTGGATATTTAGATACCTCTACGTCCCTATACCTAAAGAGGCAATCTTACAAACACTTCTAATGTGCAACCAGAGGACAATGAAGAAATATGTGTGAAAACTTGAATATATCAAATATCAGGAATTGTACAGATATTTATTTTTCTCGTATTTATATATATTGATTTTTTTTTTTGAAAATTTATTTTTAAACATGAAAAAGTCTAATCTTGGTGCTTGTTAGCTCTAGATTTAAAATCAATATGAAAGTGATACTTTAATACATGATGATTATAAGATTGTTATGAGGCAGTCGTACTGCAGTAGTTCAATATACAGTAAAACATGGTTACAGCGAACAAACATATAATGAATTCATGCCTACAGCAAAGTGATTTTTATTTCCCGTTCTTGTAAAACTTATTTTAAAACTTTTAAACAGGTATAACGATGCACTGTATTGATCCTTGGCATGTGTTTAACTGTGCTTGGCAAAGAAGTCAAGCTTTCAACGCTAGAATCATTTTTAAATGCACTAAAAATAATAATATTGTTTACTTCAATTACTTGTATTATACCATGTAAATAAAATAAAAGCAGGAGTAAACAATATTTATTTTTGATTTGCAACACTTGTAATATTGTACATCAGAGTGAGTGACTCCATCAACCTTTGTACAATCTAGATGTATGAAGTAGAGATTCGTTTTGGGGGCAGATCTTGTATGTTTTCCCTTCAGGGTGAATCATTGTACATATGTCGCTGATCTTGTCTTTTGTTAGCAGACTAAATGATGTGTAATGTTTTTCCGGCAAAACACTGGACAGAACACCAATGATTTTATACGTATTGCCATGGCGATTGTCTTGCGCCAGAATCGTGGCACCCGAGTTGCCACGTGCCGAATCACATTTATTTAGAAGAACATTTTGATTAAACAACGGAAAACTATTCCACCCATTGCACTCCGATTTCCACATCAAATTTTCGTTGTTTGGAAAAGCAAAGAAACAGAGTTTTTCAGAATAAATACTGAATTTCACAGTGCCTAATGGCGAAAAGTCATGACGCCCGAAGACGCTAATATCCAATCGTATGACGGCGTAATCAAACACTACGCGTCGTGCGTCAGACACGCCCTCTGCTTTTTGCCAATCAAAGGGCACGATGATTTCTTTGGCATAGTAAAGCCTATACCCCATTTTGTGTGGAATTAGAATTTTGAGCAGTTCCATCCTTTCATGAAATTTAGTCCCATCATGAACGCAGTGAGCTGCGGTGAGGATATAGGATGGTGTCAGAAGAGTTCCGGTACAACCAGACGACAGTTTGACGACATTAAAATACGGATACTGACCAAGTTTATAATTTTCCACTAAACTTCTGTCGTCACTTCCGTATACAAACTCGCTTTTCTTGGGTTCTCTCTTGTAGGTTTTCAAAATATTGTCTTGCGAGGCTTGTGTATTTTTTAAATAAGACTTTCTGAAGAATACACGTTCATTTTCGTGTTTTCTTGAAGCAACAGACGGGAGTATCTTGACAGTATACACTTGCTGTGATGGTAAGATTAGAAGAAGGTGCTCTGTTCCTAGATCGAGTGGTCTCATGGTGTCATTTAGCAGAAAAGAGTCGTTATGAACACGAGGCTGATTTTCACCAGCATGAGTACATACATAGATTGTATGGAGAACACAGAAGTACAGTAATAACGTCACCTCTTCCATTAGCTTAGAACTGGACTCATCCACCTCATGACTGAAAAAAGAGGAAATGTTAACAACTTCATTAATAGTCGACTACAGTAAACTTGATTCCTCATGTTCCAGAAGTATTCCCATTTCTGTAAAACGTAACAATAGTCTTTATCACAAAATTGGGATGGTATAAAAAGAAAAAAATGAAAAAAAAAAAAAAAACCTCAATACTACAAGTCTTGAGCGTTAAAATTTATATGTCATCATCTCATGAAATATGAATATCTCAAAGTTCAGACAAGGTTGAACTTAACATCTAGGTTTTAAGTATCACGTAAAATTAATACATTTATAAAGCAATTTACACTTGTCCTTCTGGGACTTGCATAGTATCGGTGAAAAATCCGTTTTCACGTTATGACGTAATTAGATGGAAATGGGATAAATCCATACTTTCGCCCGAGTCCCTATGAGTAAAATATAGGCCAAATATAGCACCCATTGCATGCATCAGAAAAAAAAGAACATTCAAAATGATGTACACATTAGGATTGTATACAGTTTATGCTTATAAGCTCAAAATTATTCTAAACGACACTCACTTAGCCTTAAAATCAATTTCCGATGCAGCCTTTGGCTCTTACACTAGACAGTGCATTCAGATATTTGAGGTGTAAGTATGTTTCGGATATAGATCTAATGAAATAATTAAGCTAGAAGCATGCTAATGGTGTACTAAAACCGAGTCATTGAATCGTAAGATGTAGGTCAGACGCAGCATTCGCTGCCTTCACCGGCACACGTATCAAGTGATTAGATGCCTAAATGGTAAGCCTAAATGATGACCAGAAATTTGTGAAGCGTTCAAAGCATGTGTCAAACTAAGCATAGATGCAACATACTGCGCAATATACTCGATTTTGGTTTAGATACCACTTGTATTAGATGTGCAACGTATATCAGAGCAAGTGGCACCATTGGAACCTAAAATATTGCTAGGTGCAGCATTCGGAGCATGCATCGATGAAGATAACCTGCGATCTATGTTTGAATAAACTTAAGATAAACCAGAAATAGACTTTAATGCTTTGATAACCTTTGCTTAACCTGTCACTGGAGCATAAAAATTTACTCATTTGGGACAACCTGATTGTGTATCACACGGCTAATCATATCTGCAAATACAGGGATCTAAGGGTTCTAACAGTCCTACATACACGTGACCTTGGAATGTCTGTTTATAAAAACAAACTTTCCGACATCCATGTTGGAAGCTGGTAAAACACACATATCGAAGGGAATACACATACGGAGAAATTTGAGTAAAAAAAAATTATATCGAATGTGAAAGAGGTCAATATATGTATATAATAAGAGGCCTATGGGCCACATCGCAAAATATTGTTGTTGTTTTTTTTTTTTTTTTTTTTTTTTTTTTTTTTTGGTCTTTTGTTTGTTTGTTTGTTTTTTTTTTTTTTTGTTTGTTTGTATCAAAAAAATAATAAGATCGGCACTTAACTGAATTTGGACAAAATTTATAGCGCTAACCAGCAAGAGATTTTTGCGATAAATACTCGTGAAGCGATCACCCGTCCAAGCTAATCCTGTTCGCTGTAGCTTAACCTATATGAAATGGTAGCTACGTGTATAGAAGATTCTACCGCGTCAAAAGATAAGCTAGCTTACTAGCAAAGAGTAAGTTCCCTAGATAATGTCAGCTACATTTCTCTCTAAAGCCAAGTAAAGTAAACAGATAAATAAAAATACCCTTTTATTTGTTAGTGAGTTAATTATATAAAACTAAGTTGCTACATGCAAATATATTGAAAATGAAATTTGTACAAACATTAACTTTTAAACTTTTTACCGATATGTTTGTTTTCATATTTCCTTCATTATTAAGAGAGAGAGAGAGAGAGGTCCCAATAATTGATTTAATAAATTTACAATGAGACATTTGTTATATGAATGCTCATCTCTTATTTAATTTACAAGTTACTAAAACATTGTCATTCCTCAAAATTATTTTTTCTGTTAAATAAACATAGTCTGTAATGTTACAATATTTAAAAATTGTCTTAAAAATCTCCTATTAAGTCTATCTTAGTAAGGACATTTTTAAGAAAGCTTTTATCTCTTTCTTAAGAACTCTCTTAGGACCATCGTAAGTTTTGTCCTAATACGCCTCTAAGTCAAGTCTTAGGACTATTCTTATGACACTTTAGATAGCATGATCACTGGTTTAGAAACCACGTTGGATAAGCCAAGAAATGACCCAAACACAGAGATTTCCGGGATCCGTGTTTTTAGACGGACAGACAGACGAAATGTTGTTGATTCCACTATAACTCCCTTCCCCTACGTTTCTTTGAGGGGGGAAAATAAAACATGAAAACCCTAATAATTGTTAGAATCTGAGAAATTATCAGGGGTGGGTTACTCTGTTGAATTTTTTTTTTTTTGGCTGCCTTTGATTATAAAAACAGGCTCAGTACACTGGTAAAGTACAGGTAGATACAGGTAAATTCTAAGCAGAAAGCATTCTAGGTTATCAAAACACAATTCACACTTATTGTTTTTTTTTTACCTTGAATTTTACATATGTACAATACATTTGCAAAAGAGAAACACACCCTAAGAGTCTCTCCTACAATCGACGTGCGTTTCAGAGATGTTAATCCTGTTTATATCACTATACCACCTCCACTGTTTACCAGAAACTATATTTATGTCAGTTGTTTAAATCTGGCATATGGCATCATATACCACATTAAGTTTGATCTAAAAGCTTCAGAGAAAAGGGAATTTCGAGCGGCTTAAAGCATCATTGCTATACATAGATTGACGTTTTACTGGAAGAAACTAAAATCCTGTTAATTAAAAAAAAAACAAAGCATTTTTGCGTCATAAACCTCCAGACGAAAGGTCTTGTCATATGAATGTACAATTGAACTAAAAAAAAAAGAATCTTAAAATATAAATGTGCGACAGTTGTACAATCTTTGATATAACTACGACAGTTGTACTTTCTTTGATATAACTACACGACAGTTGTACAATCTTTGATATAACTACGACAGTTGTACTTTCTTTGATATAACTACACGACAGTTGTACAATCTTTGATATAACTGCACGACAGTTGTAAATCCAATGTTATATTAACTGTACGACAGTTCTAAAGGCTACGACAGTTGTACAATCTTTGATATAACTACGACAGTTGTACTTTCTTTGATATAACTACACGACAGTTGTACAATCTTTGATATAACTGCACGACAGTTGTACAATCTTTGATATAACTGCACGACAGTTGTACAATCTTTGATATAACTACGACAGTTGTACTTTCTTTGATATAACTACACGACAGTTGTACAATCTTTGATATAACTGCACGACAGTTGTAAATCCAATGTTATATTAACTGTACGACAGTTCTAAAGGCTACGACAGTTGTACAATCTTTGATATAACTACGACAGTTGTACTTTCTTTGATATAACTACACGACAGTTGTACAATCTTTGATATAACTGCACGACAGTTGTACAATCTTTGATATAACTGCACGACAGTTGTACAATCTTTGATATAACTACACGACAGTTGTACAATCTTTGATATAACTTCGACAGTTGTACAATCTTTGATATAACTACGACAGTTGTACAATCTTTGATATAACTTCGACAGTTGTACAATCTTTGATATAACTACGACAGTTGTACAATCTTTGATATAACTACACGACAGTTGTACAATCTTTGATATAACTACACGACAGTTGTACAATCTTTGATATAACTGCACGACAGTTGTACAATCTTTGATATAACTACACGACAGTTGTACAATCTTTGATATAACTTCGACAGTTGTACTTTCTTTGATATAACTACACGACAGTTGTACAATCTTTGATATAACTTCGACAGTTGTACAATCTTTGATATAACTACGACAGTTGTACAATCTTTGATATAACTTCGACAGTTGTACAATCTTTGATATAACTACGACAGTTGTACAATCTTTGATATAACTACACGACAGTTGTACAATCTTTGATATAACTACACGACAGTTGTACAATCTTTGATATAACTGCACGACAGTTGTACAATCTTTGATATAACTACACGACAGTTGTACAATCTTTGATATAACTTCGACAGTTGTACTTTCTTTGATATAACTACACGACAGTTGTACAATCTTTGATATAACTTCGACAGTTGTACAATCTTTGATATAACTACACGACAGTTGTACAATCTTTGATATAACTTCGACAGTTGTACAATCTTTGATATAACTAAGACAGTTGTACAATCTTTGATATAACTGTACGAAAGTGTACTTTCTTTGATATAACTGTGCGATAGTTGTAAAGTCTTTGTTATAACTGTACGATAGTTTTAAAGTCTACGACAGTTGGACTGTGTATGATATAATTATATTACAGTCGATTGTTTCTGTATAGTTTTTCGACAGTTTAACTGTCTTTTACTTTGGAAATACTTTTCAAACTTTAATGGGGTCAACAACTGAATGAAATAAAATACATGCTTCACTGTTAAGTCGAATTTTTAAAATGAAATTTAATCTCGCTTCCATTATTGCGAAGACTAGAAGATCGTTCTTTCTTTTAACAAAGATACATCGTCCCTCATTTGTCCTCTAATGAAAACAGGTAGATTGTGATATAACATGTAATGTTCTTTATGATAACAGTAGTATCATATGAGATTGAACAGATAGAATTTGGTATTTTATTAAAAATGTTTTGTATGTAGATAATACAGTTTTAATCTCGGAATCAACTGAAGATTTTCAGAACTGAACAGTTTTTGAAACTTGAGATTAATTTTTGGGGGAAAATAAATTAATGATTTTTGAAAGGATTTTTTTTTCAAATTAAAATACGTAACAAGGAAACTGAAATATTGTTAAACAAATATCTTGGAGTAATAGTTTCATTATCTGGTTCATTTATTAAGACAAAACAGTGTGCAACCGAACGAGTGGCTGAACCTATACATGTATATATT